CCCCCCCCCCCCCCCCATGCTCACCAAACCCTCCATCTCTCGGAGATCGGCAAATTGGTACCAGAGCTGTTTGAAAGGATAGCACACTGTCTCGATACATCGATAGGCCACCGCGAGTTATTGTACAGGCTGGGTATGCATTTAATCACCTCTAACGATGCCTGATGAAGTCGAATGCATGGTGCATTTTAGCCTTTTCCACTGACAGCATAGTCGGCGGAATAGTTTTTTATAACTTATTCTATTTGTGAAGCAGAAACCTTATGATTAGATTAGGGAAATAGTGGACTGTCAATTGGGTTCATTAGTGGTGTTCATAAACCACTAAAAGTTGCGAAGAAATCGAAAAACCGCGGCTGTTTTCAATCATGTCATCCCAACCGCCGCTGCTCTGAGCCTAATCGGAGTGAACACGAAGGAATTCCGCTAGTGGTCCTCACGAAGATTTCACTGAAGCTCCTTAAAATTTTTCCTTTCCTTAGATTTTAAGGAAAAGAAATTTCCTTAAAATCTTCGTGAATTAGAAATGATTTGTTTTTCTTTTAGTTAGCATATAGCACTTATCTTGTGAATTTTTTCATAACATCCTAGCACCACATGCAGTCCAGACCTTTTCGTAATCAAATTGGAGTGTGGCTGAGTGAAAAGTGAGCACTCAAGACGATGGTGGAAAACGACTAGGGAAAAGAACATTGTCCTTTCACATCATTAGAACTGAATAATGGAAATGCATGGGTTAGCCTTCACTGAACTACTTTTTTTATGGCATTTCCTGGATTTATGACGTTTGAGGACTCCGTGCAAGGATGCAGGGAAATAATTCCAAGTAATTCTTGCATAAGGGTTTGTGTTTATTGCCAACTTACTGATACATAGTTTATAGATCGATACTTATTAAGTGAATGAGTCACATCCATCTGACACCAACAATAAAGGAGCCGTATGAACCACTTCATAACTCCGCTGCGGTCGCATGCTATCACAGTTCGCCTTCACGTGAAACATAACCACCGATATTTCTCTGCATATCCAGGCATTGGTCAGCCTACAGAAAAGATTCAGTGGGGAAGAAACGACGAACACGCAATGATCTTGTTCGGTTGAAAGTAACGCGGGAAGTCATGAAAGCGTGACTATCTTTGCTGTATTTGTACGTCTCAGTCTCCGAACTATCTAAAATAGCAGTCTTATCTTATCGATGTTACGATGAGGTCGTTTAATGTCTTCTTCAGAAAATGAGTTCACGAACAGGCGCTGTTAAGAATGGTTCGGAGTCGTTTTGACTTACACGGAAACGCTAGGCTCTATTTTAGTTCGTCTTCATCTTGTCGTGCCACGGATGAGGTAAATTTCTAGAGCGTTCGTCATGTTCCGTCTACTGTTCAGATTCATTGTTTTTCTGACCAAACGTTGATTTTCTTTTCGGATGGTGCGCAAATCTCTCGGTTCCTCAGGAGGAGGGCATTATTTGCTGTCTAGTAATGGCTACAATATTTACTCTTTTTACCTACCCGCGACTGAAGGCTATTCGCCTGTCCTAGAGACTTGATAAGACAATGTCGTATACATTGATATTCTGTGGTAACACTAATAAAGATGGGTGATAATTGTTATTGGATTTCAAGAGGAGATCTGTGCAGTGCTATGGTCAAGCCCTCGAGTTCCAATTACAATAATTCAAACTATTTGTTAGAAAGTGATGACAGCCGATGACTATATCCTGAAACTTTCGTTAAAAATCGGTCGAAAATTTATCAACAGTCATTATTGTTGCCCTTATCACTATCGTCTTTATTAATATTGATAATTATTGCGACGCTTGCAGCGCAATGGCTAGAGGTCCACGTCAGCACATACCGGGTCATTGGGTCTATGCCGTACCCCATGGAAACGAACCCTTCTATGTCTCCGGAGTCGGCAAATTGGTACTAGATCTGTCTCGGGTGACGAAAACACTGCCCTGACACATTGATAAACTTCAAAAGCTATTGTATAGGCCAGATATACATTTAATCACCTCTATGTGCTACGAATGGAATCGAACGCATGACGCATCCTTCAGTGATTTCTCAATGCCGAACTCTTTTCCCTTCGTCTTTTGCTAGCATTAGTAGTTGTATTCTGTTACCAAATATGAGCACTTACCTAAATTTTGGATCGGCGCTCTACCCAGTATTTGAGTTTTCGACGATTTGAGTGTTTTTTATTCTAGTGACCGTTGATTGCAAATGTGATCGACCAGTGCTCTTTTTTTCGTGAACTTGTTTCCTGGAAGTGCCATCAATGTTCTATGAGACACATGACTCTTATTTTGAGTAAACGTGAAATCCCGACCGTGCCAAATGCTTGACAATGCTTTGTTTATACTACGTTTATACTCGTAACGAACTGTTTAGGATAAAGTTCAAGACAAAACTGGAGAAGCTTTCTTATCCAACTTCTCGTTTTCATGGGCTAAATTTCTTCAAGTGGGATTCTGAAGGATAAAAATCTGCAACGGCAGTATTATCCATTTTGATGTGTTTAATTTTGAAAGCGCCATAATATTTGTCTACTAATAAGTAGCATAGAGTTTTCCATTAGTTAAATGATTAACGGAAATTCTTTTTTATCCATGAACTTGGTCCAGATCGAGTCCGAATCCTCTTCGCTCCCTCGCTTCTTGTGCAAATCCAATTCTTCCCACTCATAATTCATTGGCATAAAATTGCACGAGAGTTCAGGAATCAAGTGCGGTAATGAAGCATAAAGTCGAATCGCAGAGAGACGGGTTTCTACTCTTGCCATCCGACTTGGGAAGCTTTCAAAGATTTTAGAAATCACAATGTTTTACCTTTTATTTTCTGCCTACTACAATTTTCACGGCAGGGTACTAAGCGAAATACAACCACAACGTTGCTGAGATATTTACAAAACTCTGGACCGTAGATGTCTATGGTGGGGAACGAACGCGCTATTGTCCTTTCCGGGGAGTAACGCGTTCACCACCACATCATGCGGCTCCTTCGTCTCGTCTGTCTCGCAGGAAGCTGAGAGACTAGAATTTTCACGGCAGGCTTTTTTAAAGTCTTTTTTTTAGTTTTTAAAGTCTAGTCTAAAGTTTTTAAAGTCTTAGTCTTTTTAAAGTCGGCTTTAGCTGAGAGACAGGCGAAACGAAAGAGCCGCATGATGTGGTGGTGAACGCGTTACTACCCGGAAAGGACAATAGCGCGTTCGTTCCCCACCATAGACATCTACGGTCCAGAGTTTTGTAAATATCTCAGCAACGTGGTGACTTTAGAAATGTTAAAAATATTGGCAAAAAACTGCTATAGTCGCAATAAACGGTAGTGTGGGATATTCACGTTCTTGCGAAAATCGCATAGCATGTTTGTTGTAGATGGTTCTAAGGATTTAAAAGTTATTAAGTTTCGTTTCTTTAGGTGGTTGGCATGCTCCCATCCCAACCGGTTGTTTCCTCATGTTGGAATGCGGAGCGTTCTCCTGGTAAGGTTCGCCTTGCTGAAGAGGGCTTCGTGATTTCCATCCTGAAGCCTAGCAAGGACTAAATGTATCCCATGACTGAGCGCGGCAGCTGTGGCTACATTCTGGTCAAAAAACCCTAGAAAAGGGCATCCACTTACAGTCTGATGCTGTTCTTATGCCCTGTACGACTTTGGTGTGATGGGGACGCATAGAATTTACTACAGTCCGCGTCATTTACTCGATGATTAACAAGATCAAAGGTGCTTTCATGTGATTCTTGTATAAATACTGAAATAGTCGTCTTTGGCGTGCGTCCAAAGAAATTTACCGTTTAATTGGCGCTTTCCTGGTTTGGATAGATTTTTCCTAGAGTTCAAGGAAGCCCTGTTTTATTCTTCGTCTTTCGTCACTGCAGGAATCCGGAATTCTTTTACGTGAATTGAAGGTCTAATGCCTTGTGACTAGTTTTGATGAATGTTGAGTTCTGTCAGTATATGGGGCATACTTTCCACCAGTAGCATCCGCTCTTCATTGCAATTCGATATTCTTGATGGGGTGTGGGTCTAACCACATTTTGTTATCGTTGGTTTTATATCGATATTTTAAGAATTCTGATAATCAATAAGGCCTTGCTGCAAACAGCTGCCATAACTCATTAGCTATACCTAGTAAATTCCTTCAGTTAACATAACTGTTTTCAAGGACTCCACACTAGTGTCTTATTTTGCTTCTTAAGATATGATCTCATCATTTCACGAGATTTCTCGAAATATGACGAATTTTTTCCGACGAAAGTCTTGGCAGTTTTGCCACTGAGTTCGTGTTTAAGCCTATTTTCTGTTGATACTGGAATCGAAACGTTAGCAGAGTTCTTGGTCAGATACAAACTGTTTGGAGACCTAAAGTTATGTTAGATAAGAATATTATGGAAAAGAACAAACTTCAAACAATCAAGCTGGAAAATGTTCTGAGGGTTGTGAGATTCTAACGAAGTACAATACCCAAGTAACTAATCTGCTAGCTGGTTGGCTGTATTTTTAACTGATATTCATTAACTCATGACGCCCTAACGAGGGTCAGCAATAGTGGGAAAAAATGTGACTGCAGCACGGTTATCAGGGACTGTTACCGTAGACGAATTTGTGGGAGTGGGAAGCTTTTATGGTAAATTAGTTACATTTTTGACGACGGCATGAAAATTTTTCACTGATCGCTTACGTCAGCTGTGCAAGACAGCGTTTCGGAAGTTCGCTTTATCGGCGCGATGTAGATCTCGGGGAACTTGAACCCAAATCGCACCCTACTAACCTAGCGCCTGGAATGTCGACCATGCCAAGTGAGAGTGAGCGTAGTTATTTCGTTTGTCCGTCAATAGTTTTGAAATAGCGAACTTCTTACTAGCAAACTTACCTAAGCTATAAGAAATTTGCTGTACTTTTCTTGGGTTTTGCCTACTATTTCCGCACAGTATCCCGGAATGAGATTCTGTAGAAGAGTGAAATTTCTCGTCGATCTGATAACTGACGTTCCAATATATGCTTGTTTCAGACGACGGCGTTGAACGAATTCCACTATGTGAGCAGCACTCACCCCTTGCCCTCTATGAGGTGCGTTTTCGACTTTTGATTACTGGGATCGTAAAATCGTCCGTCTGTGTCTAAGTTTTTGGTCCGAGTTTCAGTTATTCGGACGTTGAATAAATATATCCCATAGTTCACTATGTCGTTCGGTTGCCAGATTGTTTGATAAATTTTCCACACAACTACTTATTCTAATAGCGTCGAGAAAAACTGTACGTGGGCGTTTTTTCATATTCTAACTCATAACCGCGCTCTGAGTCTTTCAAGAATTTGTGCTGTGCTTTTTTTGGTTGCTATCTTGTACTACATGTCTTGTATGGAATAGAATATATAGTTTTGCTGAAACTATTATTGACATAATTTCTGATTGTTTAGTTCCGAAACGTTCGAGAGCCAACGTTATTTTTCTTTTTCCAAATGTCTATTCGTTTAGTGGTCTGTCATTTTACATTGTGCTTCCGCTAAGTGTCGGAAGTCTGGTGAAATGAGCATTTCGGAAATGTCGCTGGATTGTGACTAGCAAAGGAATTCAACTGGATGCGGCAGATTTTTGGACGAGTTTCCTGAGAGCGCAGTATCATTCATTATGGCTTGCATAAATTTGCAAGTACAAACTCTAAAGAAACTGAGCTATGTTGATGTATCACGCCATCATCACAGGCAGTCACGGGTTCTGATAGATGGAGAGATTTGTCACCTAACATCTACGTTGCTGCCGAAAGAGTGGTGACTGCTGGGATGAATTTACAACTATCCAGCGTTTCATATAAAAAGGCCGAACCTCTTCTCAGCTCTAGTAGATCCTGATAGGAGATGTAAGCTATCTTAATGTGCGTCGGATGTGATGATCTAAGAACATCTATCCGCCCAACCGTGGTAACGAAGATGGTAAACCATTGGAAGAATATTTATTACAAAGTTTATAAGAGACTTTAGTTTTGTGTTGGCATCCAGCTGATTTGTCTTTGTTTGGGACTACAATTTTCCTTGATCTGTGAAAAAAAACCCCGAATTGGCTTTGATGCCTTTTAAATTCCTTATTTAATAATGCGGAATGGCATTCCATAGGACTAATTTTCTGTTTTCGACCACCTTTTCTACGCTCAGTTGTGGGATTTTTCCCAGCAAATTGGGCACTAACTCTATTGTTGAGTGTCGAATTCTTCTCAATACATCAAAGTCCCAGATTCAATCCAATTCGCGAGCACATCTTAGGTTTTGCACCTATATTTGCACCTTATTTTTATGTTTTACTTTTATATTAATATATATATTTTTTACACATGTATATTGTATTAAATTAGTTTTCAAGCATTGTTTTAAGTGTGTTAAATTTTTTAATACAAAGAAATACTATCAGAGTACTAATCAATGGATGAATTTTAGGCCGACTATGACACTCAGGGTCAGAAAATCGGTCAAATGCTACGGAAATTGTCAGTCTATACTGCGACCGAACCAACGTCAGAAGAAGCCGATGAGAAGCCAAAAACGGTAACTTCGAGCACTTTCTGACTTCATTGATTATAACTTGCTAGGCATTTTATTTTGATAAGAAATGTTTGGGAATATGTCTGAAAATACTAAGAATAAATTTTCCGCCTTTTCATACGTCACCCTTTGACATTGTCACCTGGAATTAATTTCACTTTTGTTTTTATTCCCAACTAGATTCTATAGAATTGGCGAGTTGCCAATTTCCATAGAATGGATCTACAAAAACTCTCTGGAGTTTCTTCGTCTGCTTCCACGACATATCTGAGAATCGTCTGCCGACGCTTTGATAGTGTTCAACTCAAAAAGAGTAAGAAACGAGGAAATAGCTCATTCCTGAGGCGATTGGTGTCTCTGTCAAATCCCTCAGGGTAATTTGCATTTTTGTGAAATGAATCGTTCAAAGCTGAAATAGTTTAGCTTTGCTCATGAATAATTTGCAAGGTCTCTATGTTGCTGCAACGAATCCTTGGTAAAACACACGAATAACATTTCCGTTTGAAGTACGTAAAAGCCCTTGTCTCTTCAAATTCCCTTCAAACGCTTCTGCCGGTTTCTAACTCAACTGGATGTGAACGCTATTCACTAGTAAGTAGTATGCGCAAAACTCCTCTACGTAGTTCTCCGTATAAGTAAATTTTCACGACAATGCCGTTTTCACTGGCTCCTCTTCGAGATGAAACTCAATTGTCCCGTTGTCAATGGATGACACAAACTGTATGAAACGGATTATTAAGAGAGGAATAGAAAAAAATTAGTTCATGGCATAATTTTAAACTTTATTTAATCCCTATCCTTTTTTTTCACGGCAGGGTAAAGGATAAAAAAGGACAAAGCTCTCGGCGCTTATCATTCCCTGAGGTATGCACCATGCATTCGACTTCGCTAAGCATCGTTTGGACGTTATAGAACGCAAATTTCGCCTTTACAATGACTCGCAGTGGCCTACCGACGTACCTAGCCAGTGCTGCTATACTCCAAGACAAGCCTGGTACCAATTTGCTGACCCCGGAGGGATGGAAGGCTTGGTGGGCGATGGGCTCAAGGACCATTCAACGTGTGTGTTGCAGGGCGCCTCCGACCACAGCGCCACACGTGCTCCTCGTGGCAGGGTACGATATAAAATGCATAACATAACATACGTATCCATATATCGACATGTACATACATATCCATGCTATTTTCCGGTTTTTCTGAGAAAGATTATTGTAACACAAATGTTATTCCACCTCAACACGAAGCGATATAGGTGTCGGTAGTTTTTCTGCCAGACGACAGCAAGTTTGACATTATGATTAATCGCAATTTTAATTTATTATTTGCTGCCTACTCTTTTTAATGGCAAGGTCTATTGTGAGGTAGAACTTCAGTGATGCTGAGATATTTCCAAAACTCCGGACCGCAGGTGTCCGCGGTGGGGAACGAACGCACTATTACCCTTTCCGGGGGCTAACGTGTTCACCACCACACCATGCGGGTCCTTCGTTTTGTCTATCTCTCAACCAGTTCCTTCATTGTGGTTAACACTTTTCATGGAGAGATTATTAGACTTGTAACCGATTCTTAAGTGCAATTATTGTCTAGACTTCCTACAAATCGCGTCTGGAAGGCAATCTGTGAAAAAAGCTCCAAAATTTGAAACTCCAAACTAATATAAAGGATCAGAGTAGTACCCATAATATATGAACTATCTTTTTTACATGGAAATATTAAGTGAAATTCTCTTAAACATGGGTATTAATAGACCTCAAAAGCAAAAGACATTCTTATGGCTTCGGCAATAGATCCAACAAACGGTGTTTTTTTTATCCAAACGAAAGTACTATTTGATTTCGAACGAAACAATTGTTCATATGTACAGGTTTTGTTGAGGGTTGGTCTGTCTACCGATCTAGATGAGCCATGCTGTACAGTGTTAGCATGACCAACGTTTTCCAGGCAACAAAAATGGGTACGATTATGGGCGTGTTCTTCCCGTGCATCCAGAACATCTTCGGCGTGTTGTTCTTCATCAGGATGACATGGATTGTGGGTACGGCCGGCATCGTGCAGGCGTTCTTCGTCGTTCTCACTTGTGTTTCAGTTGTGAGTCGATCGTATTTCACTCTAGCATTTCACCCATTCATTGAAATAAACGTAGTACTGCATAATAATGCAAAACAATAATGGATTGTTGCGAAAGAGCCAGAATGGAAGTGAGAGTGCCCAGTTTCGCTAGGCTAGAAGTGACACCGAGTGACTGTAACTTAAGTGTAGGAGTGGTGAACAATATTTTTTCAATATACTTAGTGGACTTAGTGGGATTCGCAACGGAGTTATTTGCAAATGATTTTTCTTTCATTTATTTTGCTAATTCTTCTAAAATATGCACAATCACCTATTATTTGTTAAGTTTTGTACTGTAAGAGCAGATTGGTGCTACTCAGTGAAAAATAGGATGAAGCTGTCGGCGTTGATCAATTTCTGAAGGATGCGTCCTGCATTCGACTTCATTAAGCATCGTTTGGAGGTGATTGAATGTACATCTGGCCTTTACAATGACTCGCAATGGCCTACCGATGTATCGAGCCAGTGCTGTTACCCTCCTAAACAAGTCTGGTACCAATTTGCCAAATTTTGAGAGATGGAAGGCTTGGTGGGCCATGGGCGCAGGGATCGATTCCACGTCTATGTTGCAGTGGGTCTCCGACCACTGGGCCACACTTGAATCTTAGAGACATACATAGTCATCGTTGTTAAGATGTTAATAATAAACGCATTTTGGCGAAATTTTTGTTGTTAAATCTCATTTCGTTTATTCTCGAATGACTCGAGCGAATATCAGTAGAGTTTCAATGCGTCAACATCACATGCAAAAATCCAAATCACTTCCAGCGTAGTTCATATGATTGTGTTTTTCGTCAATTCGCATGCACTTAAGCACACCGGCGCATTCAACCTTGAATATCTATACATACACACGCATGAGAGTCAGTACAGCATAAAATGAGCAGGAAATCCAACACTTGAGTCGAGCTGCGCCTCAAGGCAGACACGCTGTTGCTTTTGATCTGCGTCTAACTCTCTTCCGACCACCTGGATATGCGCTGCGTAGCCTCTCGAGGAAATGGCTCGAGATCGCTCAGGTGAATAAGGTTTATGCCACTGAGACCCAAACGCAAGAATTCGAGATTAAATCCTTGCTTAAAATCTATCAAAGTAACATCGTATTATTGGCCAGGTCTGCTCAATAAATTTCGAACATCTGAGGAATTGGGCTTCCTTAAAAATTCGGCATGGAAGTGTTTACTTTTGCGATTAAATTGTGTTTTTAAAGATACAGTAGAAATTTAGCTACATCGTAAACTTATTTGGCTCCTAAATTATACTAGACGTGAAAATGCTCTCTCAGCATCTGAAAAGAACGTAGGTAATCTCCTGCTTTCTAGTTCAGAATTCGTTTAGACATTTCTTACTGCTATTTCACTGTCGGCAATTGCAACGAACGGTGTCGTGTCTGGCGGTGGGCCGTACTACATGATCTCTCGCAACCTCGGACCCGAGCTCGGCGGAGCCGTCGGCATCCTCTTCTACCTGGGCACAACGATCGCCGCTTCCATGTATCTGACAGGAGCCGTGGAGATATTCTTGGTGAGTTCGTACAGTGTTTGTGACACCGCTAACGGATTTTTGAGAGTGCATTTCTTTCTGTATTCAGGCGTGCACGAGTATTTAAATTGGTCCTTATTGCCACTTCATTTAAGAGTAAAACATTCGTAGTAAAGCAGAAAGCCACAGTTTTCTCTAACTTTACCACACAGAAAGACAGTGTCAAAGGATTTTGAGGAAAAAGTTGCACTGAACAGTAGGTAACTCTATATCTACCTGGTTTTCAAAAAACACCAGGTTTGCCACACCGCAATTAGTTTATTTGCATTGATTTTTGTGATGCATCGATAGCTTATCTAGTGCACACGTTATGGTGGACATCCACCATGGAAAGCTGCTTTCCATAGATAATCATTTTAAAATACCATTTTTCGGGCCAGTTTTTCAAAACAAACCGCTAATGACGATGAATTCGGAAGCTGCAACAAAAATTAGTTCCGCGAGCGTTAAAAGTAGCTCTGCTGATGCATTCTCTACTTTCTGGTAAAGAAAATTTATGATGAGATAAAAGAATTGAAATATAATAGGTTTACAAAACTATTACACCACGATGAGGATACAGATCGATTTCTGGTTCTCTTCTTCAAAAACGCTACTCTGAAAACAATCTCATAATATTCTGGATTGATGGTTTCTTGGGTTTCGTTGCTGGCCTTCTGAAACCGTTCTTTCCACATAGCTTCGACGAAACTGAATTAGTCAACGAAATATGTGGCGCTGAATTCCGTCATGTGGTCAAGGGAATAGCATTTTGTCTCTTAGGTAGCGAGCTATTTAGCCACGATTGTCCAACGAGCGTCGGTCGCTGCCGACGTGGTTTTTCCGCATATCGCTCGTCCTCTCCAAACGAAATGTTTTCGCCATACGATGCCTCATCATAAATGAGTGTCGATTATGTGTCCCATCTGTGAACTATATGCACATTTAGTGGTACTTTACGAAGTCTGCTTGCATGTCAACAACGAGAAGAACTTCCATTTGACAAGGACCCAAAAGAGTGCTCTGTGCCAAATGTTCGGCCAATTACATGTTTTATTAATGAACTCCTTGATTAGGTTATTTCATGATAGATAGAATGTTCCAACTAATAACGGTGTTATAAGTTGAGTAAAACTATAATACACGACCTTATCGTTGCCCTTATCAGTTTCCGACGCCTTGTTGACCTTCGTCGTCTTGTTCTGGACGATGTGAGTCATTTCTGACTCACACGTAACCGAAAACGGTCTAGTCTTCCAGTATTAGGCAAACATATATCAGTTCATAGTGAGCTGTGGTAATTGGAGTAGAGCTATTTTTTTTATTTCACACGACCCGTCTTCACGTCTACTGTGTGGATCCCAGCACTTTTCACATTCGATTCGTTTCGGCGCATCCATTGTCCATGAAGATCTTCCAACTTTACGTGTGGCTTCGATTGCTTCTTGAGGATTTTCATTTCATCTTGAATGTTGTATAATGTTGGTTGAACAATCCTTTGTGTGGAGCCCTGAGATAGCCAAGCTGGAGCGTTCCCAACTTGATTGCAGAGAGTGACTTTTTCACAGACAAGTCCGGCACGAATTTCCCGAACCTGGATTGGTGAGAGGCTTAGTTGGCCCGCAGCGGAATCGAACTAACACCATACTCGTGATGACAGACATCGATATCACTGTGCTATAGACCCCCTAATAGAGCTATTAGATTATACAATTCTTTGTCAACAATAAATCAGTGTTTTTATTATATCGTGGTGAAGTTCTGATCTTGTACAGCTCTAAAAGATTGTTTTAACGTTATTCAAAATGTGATTTTATACAATTTCCAGATATTAATAACGTAGAAGGAGCATAAGAAGTAATTCAGAGAAATTATACGCGCTTTCCGAGCGATGCGATAAGTCCGTTCTACAGATCTATCAAGTACACAGTCTCTTAATGTTTTAGACTTATAGAAAAATTGTTGGCATTTGTCGAAAAAGTCACTCAAAGTGAAAAATGTGTTGAAATACAACTACAACGATGCTGAGATATTTGCAAAACTCCGGACTGCAGATATCTGCGGCGGGAACGAACGCGCTATTATCCTTTCCGGGGGCCAACGCGCTCGCCGCTACACCATGCAGGTGAAGTATGCTGTCAGTTTCTATTTACTGCCAACCATTCTTTAGTAGCAAGGTATTATCTGAAACATAATCACAATGTTGGTGAGATATTTGCAAAACTCCGGACCGCAGGTGTATGCGGTGGGGAACGAACGTGCTGTCACCCTTTCCGTAGACTAACGCATTCACCATCGCACCATGCGAGTCCTTCGTTTCACCTGTCTCTCATCCGTGTTATTAACCTATATGTGAAATAATTTTTTCAGAACGCTTCGGGTTCTGAGTAACGCCTAAAGAAAGTTGTTTGTTTTTTCCATCTAGTTTCTCTCGGCATTATTACCGTTAGTTCGCAATTGGTGAGCGTATCATCTCTGAATACAAATGGCCCCTATGCTTCGTATTTTATAGCTCTAGATGTTTTCGATTTTATTTTCACACTCTCTACCGCTGTTCGTTTTGATCGTGCTATACTTTGTTCTTTGGAAAGCCCATGAATCAGTCACATGTAGAGGATTAGTATGCATGCAGGTCTGATTAGCTTCGCTGTACCAAAATGCCATGTGATTGGCGTTTTCTAAGACGCTCGATTCTATTGTTCTGACTGATGAATTAGGTATTCGATCCATACTGAATGAAAATGTGCAATAGAAGCGATCTAACCTTAGTATCTGATCACTTACGACACCTTGTGGGTTAAGATGCATGATAATATTGCGCTACGGTGGAGCGTTAATATAAAATTTCATTTTCTAACAGCAAGTACTCTCGGTACAGCCTGTCAGCATCATATGCAGTAGGACTAAACTTCCACCTTATTAGACTCGTTGTAGATGCTTCTATGCGAATCCTAAGTTGATTTCTTTCGTTTATTTCCTTTAATCACTGCTAAAGTATAGTAGGAGTCTACAAACGCGACTCTATTGAAGGTGTCTATTGAGATGCCTTAAGCTATAAATCATTTAATGAGCTACTAAATTACGAAAAAATAGAGACTGAAAGAGACTACAAGGTTGACTTCCATCGATTTTCATGGTTACTATGAGTGAAGTGGTTCGTTTGTTGATTTTGACGACTTCTCAAATGAATGCTTTGATGTACCGTGATGAAAGACAGTTGTAACGGAATTGCACATAACAGAAAGCATGGTTTGCTGAGATCAAACTATTCATTTTCAGCTCTACATCCTGCCCGAAGGCAAAATATTCGAAGGCATCTATAACAACTTTCGTTTATACGGCTCTGGATTGTTGTTTCTAGTCGGAATGATCGTCTTGGCCGGTGTTAAAGTGAGTCTGAGACATACTCCTTACTAAATAGTTAACTCAGAAAAGAAGTCCAAGTGAACTTATAAAGTGTCGGTAGAAAACTCCATAGCCTCCACGTATCGACCATGTTTCCTACCAAATAATCGTTCTCCGTTTCTATTTCTTCCAAAGTAATCGCAGCGCTTATGAGTATAAGTACTCTTTAAGCTTTTGTTAAAAAGGATAAAGGATAAGACTCTTGGCTTTGATCTGTCTTTGAGGGATGCGCCATGCATTCGGCTTCATTAAGCGTCTTTGGAGGTGATTGAATGCATATTTGGTCTTTAAAATTACTCGTGGTAGCTTACTAATCTGTCCAGCCAGTGCTGCTGTCTTCCTAAACAAATCTGGCACCAATCTGCCGACCCCCGAAGGATGGAGGGCTTGGTGAGCCTCGGCGGCGCGAATCGATCTCGTGTGGATTTCAGGGCGCCCTGAACCACTGGGCTACAAACTCCTTTAATTATAAGTAATTAAGTAATAAGTTCCTCTTATGAGGAAAAATTCAGCTAGTAAGGTTAAGGTTGAGCAGTTCTGAACTAGGAATGTTGGTACTTCCTGGTTCAAATTTTTAGTGTACGCCACGGAAGCTTCCACGGATCTCCCTCGTATGAGAGATCTCGAGCCGGTTAGTCGCGAGGATACGTAGCGCGTCCCCAGATGGCGCATAGGGGATTAATCGAGGACCAAAAGCGACCTTTGCTTCCTTGAAACGCAGGTGGATCCAGAGAATAGACTCCCTGTTTTCATTGCGCCGATTTGGCACATACCTTCTCTATTTGCTAGGCGTATTCATGCATGCGAGTGTGGGTATGTTCTCGCGTATGCGGATTGTATTCTACGAGTCAGTTCGGCCAAAAGCCTGCAATCAAATGATAGGGAAGTATATGGAAGGCGGTTAAGAGTCGCCTACAATAAATAAGCTCCATGTCCACTCTGGGAGAGTCTAGCAAGCTACAAATGAGTATACCCAGCCCCACGTGCAGAGCCCAGCAAGCTATACGTGGGTATCAGAATGCTCAGCACAGTAAAAAAAAAGCCGAAGAACTTCGGTGACGATCTGTACCTACAATGCACGTACACTTGCATTCGAGTACTCGATAGAAGACTTCCTCATGCAAGCAAGAAGGGTAAGGTACGACGTCATCGGCCTGGCCGAGACGAGACGATGCCACCCATTCAACGCCGTCTATGACACCGGAGAAGAGCTGTTCCTAGGAACATGCGACAGTAGAGGTGTAGGCGGCGTCGGCGTTCTCGTCAACACGAATTTTTCCGTGAACATCGTTTCATTCGAACAGCTTACAACCTGAATCGGACGTTCACGATTGAAAAGAAGTGGATCAATACCGGCGTTGACAATATTCGTCGTTTACGCGCTGGCATCAAACTATGACGAAGAAGAAGTCGAAGCGTTCTACGTGGCCTTGGAGAAGTTTTACAGAGAAGACCACACATTCCTCAAGGTCATCATTGGAGATTTCAACGCCATGATTGGACCAAGAGAAACGTCTGAAGAATGTCACATTGGAACCCACGGATTAGAATGGAACGAACAGGGTAAGCGGCTGTCTGAGTTTATCATGGTGAACAAAACCATCCATGGTAACTCGCAATTTCAGAAGCCCTATCCTCGACGCTGGACGTGGGAGTCTTCCAATGGAGAGTACTATAGCCAAATAGACCACATCATAGTAAATAGAAGGTTTTGCCTAACCGATATCACTGTTGTTATAAAATTCTACAAGGGATCAGACCATCGTCTCCTCCGTGCAGGATTCTATTTTTCGGGGAAAGGAGAAAAAGCGGCTAAATTCTAAAACTGAAGTTTCAGAACCACTGTAAACTTGAACTTATTCGATTCATTAGCCGGCTGTTGGGAAGATGCCGTTGTCGATAACATCGACGGAGAATACGATCGGCTCATTCAACATCTTCACGTTAGCACTATGAAAGCTGAGAGTTCGAAAGTCACAAAGAGACGTCGGTCTCCAGAAACACTGGAGCTGATACGCCACCGAGGAATCGCACGAGCTGCAGGCAACCGCTACCTAACGTTCGAACTTGCAAAACAATGTAGGCAGGCGATAAAAGAAGATCTTGAAGAGAGAAGAGCAGTAGTAATGGTCGAAGCTGCAGAGGCTGGGAAGAGCATTCGCAAAGACCACCGAAGCTTCGCTAATTACAATACCAAGTTGATTGCACTCCGACGCCCAGATAGAACAGTTACGGCGTCCAGAAAGGCACTAGAGAAAATCATTTACGAGTACTACTCAAATCTCTTCAGTAGCCACATCCACCTTCCGTCATATGAAATAAAGGAGGATGGATATGTTGCACCACCGGTTCTCCCTTCTAAATCCGACATACCATTTCGTCGGTGAAGAATCGAACAGCACCAAATCCGGGCAGGATAAAACCAGAACACCTGAAGAACCTTCCGCCAGTCCTCGTAAACACACTGGCTCGGCTCTTCACCTTTTACCTGCCTAATTTGTCCCTACTCAATGGAAGACCAGGAAGACCGTGCTATTGTTCAAGAAAGGTGACCTACACGATATCGACACCTATCGCCCAATATAGTTGCTGTCTGTCGTCTACAAACTTTTCACTCGAGTCATCCTAAACAGGATTGACAGAACAATGGACGAAGGACAGCCGCGTGAGCAAGCAGGGTTTCGAAAAGGAATTAGTGCGATGGAACACATCGGCACCATAACAAAGCTCACTGAAGTGTCTCGAGAGTACAAAAGGCCGCTCTGCCTCACTTTCATCGATTTAAAGAAGGCCTTTGACTGACTGAGATAGAAGCAATCATGGAAGCCCTTGATAGTCAGGGAGTCCCTACTCAGTACATAAAGATTCTTCGTGAGCTGTACAAAAATTTCACAATCGAGATATCACCATTCTACAACGATATTAACATTGATGTGAAAAAAGTGGTTAGGCAAGGCGACACGATCTCGCCAAAATTCTTTACCGCCACCCTCCAGAACGTCATGCGAACATTGGAATGGGATAATATGGGAGTGAAAATCGGTGGTCGGCAGTTACATCACCTTCGCATGGCTGATGACATCGTCCTTATAACACCAAACATTAGCAAAGCGGAACGTATGCCTACCGACTTTGATAAAGCATGTGGAAAGATTGGTCTCCGTCTAATCCTCACGAAAACGATGTTTATGAAGAACGGATTGGTTTCGCATGTCCCTATCACGCTCAACCGAACTACGAATGCTCCAGTTATATCTATCTCGGTCGTGAAATGAACATGTTGAACGACTTAGCTTTAGAGTTGAGCAAAAGGAAACGAGCTGCCTGGGGAGCTTTCAAGAGCGTCGATGATGCAATGAAGAGAACAAAGAACACTCGACTCCGTGCCCACCTTTTCGACTCAACGGTACTTCCTGCTCTAACGTATGCGTCAGAAACTTGATCGCTGCGTGAGCAGGATGAAAGATCACTCAGCGTTGTTGAACACGCAGTCGAAATGACGAGGCTAGGAGTATCCCGTTCCACACAAGTAAGGGCTGGGATCCGAAGCTCCAATCTTCGTCAACGATTAAAAATCAAATATACCGTTCTGTACGCCAAACGGTCGAAGATAAGGTGGGCAGGACACATAATGCGTGTGAATGGCTACCGATGGGCAAAAGCCGTTAGTGACCGGATTCCCCGGGATGTCAAACGTACTGCAGGAAGACTACCGTTCCGATGGTCAGTGTTCTTCACAGAGAGCCTAGAAGAAAGATATGATGCTCGACGATTCCCTAGAGCGAGCAGAACCCACTGGGCTACTCTTGTACGCGACACGGAAAGTGGAAGATTTACTGGCGCCCGCTCGAGTCACTCGACGATCAACGGGTCTACAGGTGATACAGGTAATGCCACGGAACCTTTAGATACATAAATACTTGTTTGTTTTGATGGTCACATAATTCCTCAGAGATAAATTCATTTTTTTTTCGTGAGAACTGCATACCTCGAACGACCGAGAAATGTTAGATTTCTGCAGGTTGTGAACAAATTCGCGTTGCCATTGGTGTTCGTCGTGCTTTGTTGTATATTTTCATCATTCCTCGGTGCCTTCGTCAGATTCAACGGTTCTGACTCCCTCATGTGAGTTTGGTAGAGGAGAGCCTCTGGCAACCTTTATACTTTGCTTTAGTTCTCTTACATTTTTTTATAAACTAGTAACTAGTCTTTAACTGTTCTACACCGTTAAAAATTCGCCTTTTTCAATGAACATCGCTGTTGTTGCTCCGCTAATTTTTTGAGGGTTTTATTACCACCGATATCTTTGCTTTCATCGTATTATGCTTTCCCGTAGTTTACAGTAACCATACCATCCGATCAGTGTGCACCATATATGGAAGTACTTCTTGTATGTAGTAAGTAGACTAGTAAGTAGGTACTTCTGGAGGTAAAACCTCAATCAGACCCCTTCGTGGTTGAAATTCTACACTTAGGAGGCGGTTAATTTCTAACTGTTGTTCGGCGTACTGGTTTAGCTTAGGTTCTGCATGATGGGTGACCGGCCGGTGGACGTAACGACCTACTACGAGACCAAGCGGGTGCGGCCGAACTGTACTGCCGACGGCTTGCGGCCGCTGTTCTGCTCCGACAACGGCACCTGTGACGCCTATTACGAACGCGTGAAGAACGTGAAGGTGTGGCGTGGTAGTCATGTGCCAGCCATCCGACTTGAGGTGCAGAGTTTCTTATTAGCACTCTTTTTTTTTTACTGTTTTTGTCTTCTTCATTATTTGTTTAGACGCTCCATACACTGTACAGAAAAATAGGGTCCCTAGAATAGAAAAACCCTAACCAATGAATTTTGGAAGCTTTTTAACTTTGGGACAAATTTTTTCTTTCCAGTTCCACCAACTCTTACGTCTTTTTTTACACTCTTTTTGCTTCAGTTTTCTATTAAATTTTATTTGTTGTTCGTATTTCTGTCATTTATTCTTCATCTACATTCATCACCAAAATTCAGTTCGTTTGCTATGACCTTTATATGAACTTATGTGCTTCAAGAAAGCCCTCAAGTCAAATTCATCCTTCATCTTCCTCCTCCCTCCACTCTTTTTCAAATAATGACATAATTTCTTATGTACGAACTAACTGGTCTCAATACGGTTTCTTTATCTATAATTAGATCATAAAATTCACGTTTTCATTCTTCTTCGCTTTTTCTTGAAGTTCGTCAAAAGGCTTTTAACCGTCCATTTCAAAGAAGGGCAAATTGTCCTTATTCCTTTATTGAACGCGAAATTTGGGAAGTCCCATTCGTGAAAGAACGTTCATTTTTTCGTTTATTGGCGAACGAGAACTTTTTATCTCAAAAGAATGACTCAGTTGACTTTGCCTTTCATGATGCGAAAGGCAAATATGCTCAAATCAGAAGGAATGCGAGAATTTCGACATTTCGGTTGTTTGGAGAATCCAGGGACGAAACCGTGTGGGGTTTAGGAACGGGATGAATAAATGTCATTCCTATGAAAATCTATCGTTTATCACAAATTTGGGAACAAAAGTCATACACGACTCACTTACGTGAAGGAATCTCTCATGAGAGGAAAAAAATCGATTTTGAGCGCCACTTAATTATTCAAAAGGGATTTCTCGAAACTACTCATTATTGATTTGTATGCAGTGTGTAGAAAAGTTGTCATAAACAGCTGGTTCTCTAGACAGAGCTTCTGACGCCTACCTTGGTCGTTGGAGACGCTTCTCTTATCTAAAAAGTCGTGGATTTGACATGTGGAGTTAATATGGCAAAGTACCAACAACGCTGAGTGAACTCGGTCTGGCATCGATGCCCTTCACATTCTTCATTTCTTCCTTTAGCGTACACCACGAAATCACGAACGTCTTTAAAGAAGATGGTCTTTCACCATTACAGATATTAATAGGAGACGTAAAGTGCTGTTCATTTACAAATCAGGTAGAACAAAAGCTGCAACTAAAAATTGATCGGTTTGGGAAATAAAGCAAAACGACGACAATTTAGTGTTCGTTGAAGGAATGTCTTTGTTTTGGCATCCTTTTGTAAGTATAAGGATGACTGATTGCGAAAAATAGAGAAAGAAAAAACCGGAGGGAGAAGGGGTGTCGGTCTACTTCACTAAAACCAACAACAAAATATGTCAAGCTTATTTTATTGGTAGCAGCACTTTAATGCTTTTCGTTGTTCCCACTCAAACCTTTCGACATCTTCGTCTTCTTCAGAGCCGGTGATCCGACTCGATGATACACGGTTGTTCGTACCCTTCTTTTCGTACCTTTCGGACTTTTCGTTGTCTTAAATTTGTCGTTCACGAAATTTTTGGCTACAACTTGAGAACTTCATGAATGTCGTAGAATAGTGATGGTCAAGCCTGATCCTCCATAAAATCCCGGGATAGCACTTCTAGACCGTTATCTGGCCCTTACCACTACTTTACTTTGCAGACAGATCTGACACCATTTTACCGACACTGGAAGATTGAGAAGCTAGGTAGGCTTCGGTCATGGTCGAACCAATGACCATATATTTATCGCAGAGCTCCTTCAGCCTCAATTTTGAACTCGTGTTGCATTCAGCGCATATGCATGAGAGCTTTCAAATTAATAAGATGAATCGCGGCTTCTTTGGCCTAAGCATTTTTCGTTGTCCTTCAGAACTTTTCCTAAGTGATCGCCTTATTTCCCCTAATGCTGCTCGTTCATCACTCCTGATTTTTCGAATTCTGTCGACAGTCCTTGCGATTGGTGAAGCTCGATGATATCAGGTGGTTTGTAGCAGTGTTGAAGGTGTCTGGTTGCAGCGTGTGCTTCCGCTTATTGCATTGATGTCATTTTCCGCTGCCTGGATTCGACTGAGCGCTGACATTCAGGGATTTGGGGTCGTGCAGCATAACTAGGCATAACTAGATATGGAAATTTAGGGACAGTGCAAACCTAGGCGATGTAACCATACCTGCAATATTACTTAGCACGAAGTCGGAAAAAAACTTAAATGCTCAACTACTATCGCGATTGCTAATTTATAAGTATTTAAACATCCTTTTTAAATGAAGCATACAATAAAAATACCTCAAATTTTAAGGAATTTAGCGAATAGATCTTGTTCCTCTGCAGCGAAGTCCTCTTTTTCTGTCTCATTCTCTTCCCCTCGTCTTTCATTCTTAACTGGAATTGTTCATTTTCTTTCCAGCTGCCGCTTATTTGTTTACTTGTCAACTTAACAGTGGGAAAAAATCGCTTTTTTCTTTCCTTTTTCTTTTTTCTTCCTTTTTTCTATAGGTGTTCTAACGTGTTTTTCTCTACAGACGCCATAATATCTCTTTCTGTTCACTTTTCCATTTTAAAAATTTCATGATGTTTTAGGTGCATCACATCTTTCACATATAATATATCTTTCACATGCAAGTGCTTAACGGCGTAGTTCGCTCAAAAGGGCAGCTAGGGCTTTTGAATTTTTGAGCGCTATTTTCTCAATTTAGTCATGTTCAAATATTCTGGATAATGATAAGGACGTATGCCAGAAGAGAATACCGAAACGCATAGAAACCCTGTTGATTGAATCGGTGGCTTAGGATGATTTGAAAGCAAATGCAAAAATCTTGGACGCTTTTCAGCGAGCGATAAAGGGAATCGGCAGCGGTGTGTTCTTCGACAATCTTTGGCCGAAGCACACCCGCTTCGGCGACGTGCTGTCCAAGGATTCCAGGGTAAGTGCTGCACACTTCGGCTATCCTGCTCATACGGCTATATTCAGCATAATCTAAAGAAAGTTCGCTTAAAATTGCAGCCTTTGATGTTAAGATGATTTCCTCTGGAAATCGAACTAAATTATACAACTATTGTTCCTATATTTGCTTTTATTTTTAAAGTCTCATTAACCATCGAGTGATATGAATGGGTGTTATGGACTGTAATTTTTCGTCCCGCATGCCAGAGCTGCTCTGCACTTGTGAGTCACAAGAAGACCCTCATATTTTTGATATAAAGCTCTCTATTCCCACCGTCTTTTATAAGAAAGTAGCCACAGGAAGCTTACTGGGTGTCATAAGTCTACTCTTAGCCTCACTTCCTTACAGTAATGTCTATCCCTTTAACAGCTTAACAGGCCGTGCTGAGATTAACAACCTTCCGTTGTGGCCACAATGATGCTGTAAGCCATTAAAAGAGAGTATGGAAGGAGATCATCATATTTATAAATTTATATTGTTAACACTGCCATCCGATTTAGCCTCTTACTTTAATGCTAAGATGCTAACCCTTGTATCCCATGCGGTCATCGTTGCCCCACGTTTGAAATTATTCGTCGAGAAAAACGTCTTTTCTGTCAGTCTGTTGAGTTTGAATTCTTTGGATTTAGACAAATGTTATTCAATATTGTTGATCTATTTCCTAAAGAAAGATGTTCTTATTCCGGTATACTCATACACGCTCCTTTTTAATCGTAGAAGAAAGTATGAAAAATAATATCGACTCTCAATGTGTAGTTTTGGATTGAAGGTTGATTTAAAGCGAGATAAAAAACTTGGATTCAGGACAAGAGTGACCGGCAGCGATCCACTGGCTTCTACGTGTTTGCCGATTCGACCACGTCATTCATGATTCTCATCGGTGTCTTCTTCCCATCGGCCACCGGTGAGCTCTCTTGGATCATTTCATTTTTCTCCAAGTTTATATGTGTTTTTTCGACCTTCACTTAATGAAACCAGTAATTAAGGAGCCTTAATTAAACATAATGGATATTTACGGATATCTTAGGTTTTAAAATAAGGAAATGAGCCGGCATTTTGCTTTTCCGAATCGTTTTGAGGAGATTTGATTGCATTTAAGATCGCTACCAATTATTAGTCATTAGCCCTTCTATCATGAATGTGTCGTTTACCATACTCCTTTCTGATTATGGGACGTCAGCATAGATAAACATTTGGCTTTGGTATTCATTGTCGCTAAAGTGGTGACATTTCGTAGTATAATAAAAAATTATTTTTGTTAATTATTTAACAGTGCTGAGGTATGCACGTAGTATTTTTCACTCCCGGTACTATCAGTGGCTCTGTGTCGTGGTAAACATTATTCTTCATTCAGTTCATAGTTCCACTTTTGTCATCCGTCTATCAAGGGATTCGTGAAGCTGAACGGAATTTTGTGAACTCCAAAATTTCTTAATTTTCGTGGAAAATTCATTGAAACGTTCAACAATAGCCCTAAACAATAGTACATTTCTCTTTTAATACTAATGTTTGTTTGCTAATGGAGGTGTTTGAAATTCAATTCTTTACAAGAGAAATATGTATGAGAGTTGTTTATTTACGAATATCATGCAGGTCACATGCCTGTCTGCAGTTTTGTCGTATTCCTGTGGATACCGTAATCGAACTAATTTCAAGGATATCTGTTAATTCCTTAAAGATCCAGAGTTTATAGACGCTTCTAGCTTTGATTTGTGCACCTCCTTTAGTTTTGGGGTAGTGTCCTTGGGGGTTTCTGGCGATACACGTTGCTGTCAAGTCTGATCATCCGACTACTGCAACCTCTAATCACTTTTAAAGCGCCATTTCACTGATGAATCCGAAGCGCCTGGAAAGGGAAGGGGAAACGTACAATTCATAGCGAAGAGACATTCCAGGCGTTTTTGTCAGTTTCCTAAAATTATCAAATAGTCTTTGGGAAACGTTCGAGAGTTCGGAGAACTTTTTCCCGCCTTTTTTTCGTATCCGGCTTTCCGTTATGATCTATACAAAATATTTCTTGGCAACATTCAGTACTATTAAGCCTACGTTTTTTATCGGTACTTTGATATTGAACAATGAAAGTGCTCTGGCTAGTTATAGTAATTCCAATGGTATTTCAAAAAAATAAAAATAATAAAAAATAAAAATACACAGAAATTGTGAGACTTGCTCACAAAAATTGCTGCCATGTGACGTTTCCAACTCGTCGCTTCTCCAAATAAAAAAAAGAGGTTCTGACTTAATCCTATTTCTTTATTACACTGCTATTTGTTAACCCTGTAGATATCCGTGATACGATTTTCAAGAGAAAAGATTGCAGGCTTCCATGTGGAAGCATTCATTTGGTTCTGTACATCTCCTAAGTGTCTGAGATGAAAGGGGAGGCAGGGAAATTGTTTTAGGTTTTCAGATGGTGCATTCGCATCCCCACACCACAAAAACAATCAGCTGCTTGTTGTTAGTTCTTACTGTTCGGAAACATTTCAGCAGTCAGAGTAACAGATGATCATTCTGTACATGATTAGCCTATGATAAAAAGCCGAGCAGAATAGGTTCACTTCAATGTTCCCTAACATTTTTTTGACACTTGGTGCAAAAAAGAAGTCTATGCCGACATTCACCAACTCTATTTGTATCCATGATGATCCATAAATTCAGAAAGATCTTAACTATTTCGTCCTATAACGTGAGTTATCGTCGATCGAAACCCACATTGGCTTTGGTATTATTGCCATGAAAGGGACAGAGCAAATTTTTTGGACCTTGATAGAGGTCAATCCGCTTTCCTTCACAGTCTAGACCTCAATTGATTCACTGGTTCTATCGGTGTAACTAAGCTGAGCTAAGAATGGACAATCGAACAAGAAAGCGCAACTGCTCTCTCGTTGCAGTACACCACAACTCTCTAACAGTTCTATTGTACTGCTGTTGATTTGTTTTCGATTTGAAACACACTTTAAAGTATTTCAAAAGTCGACTTTCCATTAACCGCGGCGTGACTAATCAATATTTATTCTCTCATTGATAAGCTAGTGCGAGGTTGATAAAGAGATTTATTTGGCCTACGTTTTCTAACGAAGTATTATCCGAATAAATCTATTTATCAACCTCGTGCTGGCTTGCCAGTGAAAGAATAAATATGGTTTAAAAGTTGAGTGAGTCAGTGAGTCAAAACCTATGTAGCTGTCGAGTTAACCGCATTGTCCAATTGGTGCATTAAACAAATAGTTATCAGTAGACTAATCCTACACGGAACTCTGACTGTCTTTTTGGTTATTCTCCAGTGTTAGTGCTACGGTATTTCCAGAGTTCCAGTTACTCTTAACCCTTTCTCTTCCTCTTGTTAGTTATGGAGAAAGAGTCCTTTTTTTGAGAAAAGCCAATGATTGAATTTTCGTGGACGGATACCCTCTATTGCACTGATGAGGGGACTACCGTGTAGAAATAACTCCAAAGGGTCGATTTCGTTAATGCTTCAGTAATAAAATTATAATGTTAGTCGAAAAAGAACATTAACTACCGTATACTGGAATTATTTGCATTGAGGTTTAATAGGATTAGATAGAACACTTTCGTTATGCATTCACTTTATGATGAACGATTGAATTTAAGCTTTGGGAAGTGCTTCGCAACTAATCCGTCTTTATTTTAGCTTTTTTATATCCGTACACTCTATGGATAACTATTGTTCACCTTAGCAACTGTAATGGTAGCCGATTAGCATCCAAATTCCTGGCCTGTGAACTCGTTCGGGAAATGGTTGTTTGTATTTCTTCGTCTTGCGTTTCGGCGGATTTCGCCTTCCTCAGATCCACTTTCTATGAGGCTTTCACTGAGTATGTCGCGTGAAGACCAACCGCACAGAATTCACATGGAAGCGTCAGCTTATTCGTGAATAAGGAATAAAAATAACACCTCGCGTTTGCTCAACAAAAATACGAAGAATTAATTGATCAATGCCGAGGTTAATAGAAAGTCGGTCGTGGGGGTTTTTTGCATGTTTCTAAATGCAGTACATTCCTTTTCTCAGTCGACACCCAGCTCAATGTCTTTGTTCTACGAGCTGTCACTTCACGACACAAAGTATGTTAAAATAGTCCTATGTGTTAAAATAAATTACCGACAAGATAATGAGACCTATACGTGTTATACGACCTACTCCCTCGAAACCATTGTGACACATGTCGTCGTGGGAGTGGTAAACGACGTAGCAATGGTGAAAGGTCGAGAATGAAACAAAATGCTACTGCTAAGGATGCGGCTTGTACTTGAAATGGGTTTCATAGAGTCGAAAAGAAGTAAATTCAAAGCCAATGACTTTGACAGTAGGGAAAAACCCGGGCGCTGGCAGACGATCTGCGAAGTGAATTGTTTATATGAAGCACAGAAGGACATGGAGAGGATTGATAGTACTCAAAATGCGTGCAGAAATGCTTGTAGCTTTTTGTACACACTGTGCACCCCGTTGAACATGAGCACCGTAATCCGGTAGTGACGGAGATTCTCATAATGAACTATGCAGTTATAACACATTAAAATGAACTTGTTTAAACCACTGTTTTCTAGGAACAAATTTATGTACTTCAATATCTTCGGCTTCTCTAACAAAAGTTTCCCTTTTCTTCTTCGATCTAAAAGATGTAAATGCTGCATCCTGAGATAGATGCACTTATTTATCCAACTGCAATTGCATCATACAAAATGGAAGGATTATGGTGAACATCTGAATTTTCGCGATGACCCGCCGCATTATGCGGTGAAGTCATGTGATTTGGCTAAATGGAAATGTCTGCTTATCTCTTTATGTTTGTATTTCCCTCCTTTCCAAGTTTTTTTTTCCTACTTTTCACTGCGGCTCAGCAGTATGGCCTCAGAGAGCACTTAAACCTTCCAGATTTCTTCCGCAACCTCCCAAGTCTTGAAATCAGTCTTGTTGACCACATTTTGTAACATGTACTCTTCTTAGATCTTTTACGGATAACGACGTTGTCTTTCAGAATGTTGATATTCTTTTTCGTATTGTTGAAGAGATTCCTTAAAACGTCTCAGGGTTAACTATGTTAATTCATTTCTAGCATAGTACTTTTGTTGAGAACCAATGGAAGAAAAGCGTTTTTGGAGCATTTCATTGTGGGAACAAATGCGAGACATCCATGAACATTATGTCCACATAAAGCGGCAATTCAATTTTAAGTGCATTCGAATGGATAAAGACGTTAGAATTGAGGCCAGTAAATCCGTTAGAATTCGTGCTGAGTCGATGAATTGCAGTGCAAGCGGAAAGAAGAGCTTATGCTGTGAGGGTTTAAGCTTATTCTAATGGAATTCTCAGCATGAGAAGATTTCCGCATTTATGTAATGGCCATCTGAGATAAATGGGTATCACTTATTATGTCCTCTTACCGTTTATTAAGTTATTTTGAATCGATATTTACTAACCTAACACTCCTAAAGGCACGTGTGGCGCAGTGGTCGTAGGCGCCCTGCAACACACGTGGAATTGGTCCACGCACCCATGGCCGACCAAGCCTTCCATCCCTCCAGGGTGGGCAATTAGGTACCAGACTTATCTTGGAGGATAGTAGCACTGGCTCGATACATCGGTAGGCCACCGCGAGTCATTGTAAAGGCCAGAGATGCATGTAATCATCTCCAAACGATGCTTAGTGAAGTCGAATGCATGACGCATGAATGCAGAAATCGATCAACGCCAAGAGCTTGATCCTTTTTTATTTTAACATTTTCCTAGGTTTCATTGAAGTACACAATGTTGTAACATTGGTTATTCGAAGAATTTCCCATTTCCATCGTAATAGATTCAGATCACTAAATAAAATTCCCTTGGAAAACTGATTTATACTAGGAATTTTATTAGCGAGAAATCAAACGCGGAAAGTTGCGCCGGTTTGTTTGGGTTTCCAAAACTGGCTAGATTTCCCATTATTACAAGGTTTTTCATCAAAGCCTTACGATGTGGTTATGTTAGACCATCGCTTCTTCATAAAAAGCTCTTTAAATTTGCAAAACGTCGTCTGAGTCTTAATTAGAATACTCAACTGAAGTGTCTCAAACATTCTGCCATCTGACTGTGAAAGTTTTAAAATTTTGAGAAGGACCACATTGAAAACAGCTATCCATTATGTGACGTTTGAAAAAAAAACGTATTAGTCAGCCAATATTGCATTTTTAGGAATCATGGCTGGTTCGAACCGATCTGGAAATCTTCGAGATGCGTCACGTTCGATCCCGCTCGGAACGTTGGCCGCTCAGATAACAACGAGCGTAGTTTGTAAGCATCAGGGATGTTTTCGATGATAGTGGACAAGTATAGTGCTGCAGTTAGAGCTGTGCTGCAATACAAGCGTTAATTGGTTCGATTCCACGCGCTGAGCGATTATTCCATTCCTCAGGGCTCATCAAAGTGATAGCAAAATCGTTCGCGATAATAAAAACACTGACTTGATCCATCAGTACCCTGAAAGTCATTGTGTGGAACAATTATGGCTTCGCTCAGGTGATGATCAACGTCGAACGTTTTTTCCTTCATTTTTGCTAGCATTATAACTGGTATTCCATTGCCAGATGCGAGCACTTGCCTATTGTTAAAGTGTTAACGTTCTCCAGTACTTAGTGGAAACTTTGCTAGGATCGATCAACTCTCGTTGGTCATTCTAAAAGCCAAATATTTACTCAGTCACCTCGGCTATGCTTGAAGAAGTCAAATGCTTGGCGAATCCATCAGAGATTGGTCATTGTTGAACAACAGTTTAATGAGGCGTTGTTTTTGAAATGCGACACTACAAAAGGCTTAAATAACGTTCGGACACCGGATTTAATGAAGAAGCTCCATCGTCGTCGACTTTTTGACGTAAAGCACACTCGGCTGGATGGATCAGCAATGAGAGATTTCAGCAAATTAGATGCCTGAAAATCTAATACTGTCGAAAGACGTGACACATGTAATAGAAGGATAAAAGCGGATAAAGCTCTCGACGTTGATTAATCCTTGAGGGATGCGCCGTACACTCGACTTTTTTAGCGATTGTTAGAAGTGATTTAAAGCATACCTGGGGTGTACGATGGCTTGCGATGAGCTACCGTTGTACGTAGTTTGTGCCTTTACTCTCCCAGACTGATAGCAATTTGGCGTATATGAATGGATGACAAGCTTCCTGACCTCGGGAGATGGGATTCGACTAGCACTCGGCGCAGTACGTCTTGTAGGGCATTACTAAATAGTGTACTAGGCGCTCCTAAGGCACTTGTAATACGTTTACATTACATTTTCATAAAATGTCGCCTCTCCGAACTCACCTGGATATTTTACAAGAATTTTTGGAGAATATCTTCTTCAACCTAAATTGGAGCTCAGTATTTTTCTGGAAATGTGGGCCTTTAATTCTTCTCGGAGTTAAAATCAAGTTCCAAAATTGTGTGCCTTACTGTTCAACTCACATAGTTTAGTCTTCTTTTAAGTTTGTAGGAAAGCAGTAGAAAAAAGAGTTGTAGAAGTATGTGATCTTGGGTGTGTGGAATAGTGAGTTGAAGGTCATATTTAAAAATTCAACATATTTTTATTGAGGAGCTGCTCTTTCTAAGAAGTAGAGATTGAGAGCTTCGTGGACTCAAAAGTGTGACGAAGGCATTTTCACCCGCCAAATACTAGGAAGAAGTACAACCACAACGTTGCTAAGATATTTGCAAAACTCTGGACCGCAGGTGTCTATGGTGGGGAACGAACGCGCTATTATCCTTTCCGGGGAGTAACGCGTTCACCACCACACCATGCGGGTCCTTCGTTTCGCCTGTCTCTCAGCTATTTCTATCGATCTTTTTGCCACAGCAATCACCCGTTAGCGGGGTTGACCTGGGGAGCGCAAATCGGCATAGAACCCAGTTAAGCTATGGCTGTAGTTGAAATCACAATGTTTAACGTTTTGTTTTCTGCCTTCTATAAATTTCATGGCAGGTTACTAAGCGAAATACAAGCTTAGTAACCTGCCATGAAAATTATAGAAGGCAGAAAACAAAACGTTAAACACTAGGAAGAAGCTTTGCCTAAAGATGGCCGAAGAGATTCGCCATTAGGAAAATGGCAATGAGGTCTTCTTGGTTTTTCAGGCACAGTGATTTGCCTAATGAATTGGAATGGAAAAAAGCTTTTGCAAACTTAGTAGCACGAGAAGTGTCCATATGTTCATGTTTTTTTTAAACTTTTATTTAATACCTCCTGACGACTTCAAAATTCAGAGAGTGATCGTCGGATCTCTGTGACGATGCTACTAGCAGTGTTTGATTCACTAAAACATCCAAGCTTATTCGACCTCTTAAGCTTCGACCTACCGGAACTATAAGCATCTCGTGTCTAGAGTTTTCGTAGGCTAGAGAAATTATCGTTGAGGTGAAAAATCTTAACATAGGGAGATTTTAACTGCTGAAATTGCTATGAAACGAAACCAAGAATTTCTTGCATACGTGAGATATTCTGGATTATGTAATTTAGGATAAAACTGGAAGGCAAGAAAGGCGTTGCACATACCTTAAGGAAATAAATTTCTTAAACGACTTAAGGAATGAGCAACGTTAAATAGGAGGAAGACAGGAAGCGTATATGTAAATTAAAAACCTATCTAGTGAATAGAGAACTTTCCATAGAAGTTGTACATTCAGATCTGATGGGAGTGGTGATCTTCGGCGCGTCAGTATCGGAAATGTTCATCCGGGACAAGTATGGTCAGTCTGGAATGGGAAAACTAACCATTTCAGAAATCGCTTGGCCATTACCAAACGTGATTTTGGTAAGTGTGCTTGTAACTTTCTACTTATCGATTGACCACTTTTGGATTGCGCCCTATTTTAATAACAGCCATTGAGAACAAAATCGCCTATAAGAATGATATGGTCAAGCAGAAATAGTTTTTAAATGGACAAAGTTGATGCAGCATTCTCACTGTGTTCGAGTTCGTTTTGCTTTATCCGCATTTGCACAACTTTCCCAGTTTAATATCTTCCTAAGAGCGAACCTGAGTACGGTATAAATCTCCGCCTGTTAATTTTTCCATAGTATCATGCTTAACCGGCAATTCATTTTTTGGTTGAACTTCTACTCTCATAACGCATAAGGAATGAGGCATTCGTTGTTGGTTTATCCCTCAGGGATGCGTCATGGATACGGCTTCAGTAAATATCGCACAGGAGATTGAATGCGTATCTGCCGTATTCAGTAGCTAGCGATGACCTATCGATGAATTAAGTTGGGTTTTTATCCTTCTACACGAGTATGGTACCAATTCGCCGACCCCAAATAGATGACAAACTTGGTTAACCTGCAGAGCGGGATCGAAGAAATGACCACGTGTGCAATACAGCTCTAACCCTTTGCACTACAAGCACCATACGTCAATCACGTCCGCGCGTTGACATGAAGTTTTATTTCCTCACGTGAGCTTCTGTCAGTTGCTGTACATTTGATTTTCAGTAATTTTACAGTTTCTTGCAACGGTTTACCTCCTCATCGTGGTTCGGAGGCATTCCTAGGTGTCGGGCTGCAACGTACATCGAGGGCATTCATCCCCTCAGTAGGGTCTTCCAATCTGGGAAGAAGTCCAGCGTTTCCATTAGGAATTTCAGCTAAGAGTAGACTAATACCAGGATCCACTATTGTCCTGGTATGAAACTAATCGCAGGGTGGCTAATCTTCCTCCGATCCAGAAGGGCGACGACTGCTGTGGTAGTGACGACTTGGGACAGACTTTGGCTAGGTTGACCTCAGGACTCCAGGGAACCACAGTGGCTAAATCAGCAAAACTCCGAAAAAATGGAGATTATGCTTGGGTCCACACAACCACTGAGGACGGACCATCCAAGTATCCAAGTTATTAAGTAGTTCTTATAGTTACTGTTGTCGTTCATCTAATTTCACGTTTACTGACCAGCTACTTGTAGCCCATTCCGTATATTCCAACCTGTGCTTTCTGGCCTTTGAAAAACTTTTTCCCTTCCTTTTAAATTATCCTTGCAAAAGCAGTTTTGGAGGGTCTAGAGCCTTATTTTAATCATATCACTTTCAAGCTCGTTGTTGAAACAGATGTCCGCTTCTCCTTGCAACAAAAACAGCGCCAATTTGGTTTTGGCTTGATTTATGAGCAGTGTTCGGTCATATGATGCTTTGAGCGGCTGTCACTCTAAAGATTGGTGATGTACGGGGCTCTTCAAAATAAATATCTTTTTTTGTAGCGTATGTGTTTTAATGAGAGCGCTCCGTTGTCGCTGGATGATTGAATGGTATGAAACCGAAATTGGGGACAAAAATTGGACTTTTATTGAACTTACTACATTTTATCCTTACGCATACACACTCTCTTTCTCTTTCTCTCCCTCTCGACTTCCCTTCTGCATTCTCATTCTCTTTTTCTTCTTTGCATTTCTCTTTCTTATTTTCGCTGTCTTAGCATTTTAGGGAAAAATCCAAACCCCAGAGCATTCGAAGACAACTGCAGAATACTTGAAAGGAATGCGTAATGGGGAACACAAAATTTAAGATAAAGGCCAAAGGTTTTCCATTGGGGGCTTTCCTTTCAAATAGATCACACTGTGAGAACATGGATACTTTGATGTCCGTATTCACGAGCTGTGCAAGTACCATCACTTCATCCATTCACGTCGTTCTCGTGTAATAATCATCCATGATGATGGTCTGCCTCTAGTGTAATGACGGCGGCGTCATTCTGTATTTCTCATTAATGTGCACCATCTCATGAACACATATGGAAAGCCTAACAAGTAATTCTCGTTATTCTTGTTGGGAAAACACGACGTGTTATCTTATTCTTTATTCCAGTAAAGTTGACCTTTTGGCAGTATTGCCTTCTTCGGGTCCTGGAAGCGTATACTGAGATGCAATTTATCATGCCAAATCCTTCAATAACACAAACAAAAAGGTGAAAATCTGAATGGTAATCTCATGATCAACAGCTGCTCGAAAACTCACCGTTTTTGAATTGCCTTTCACTGAGGAAGAACAGCTACTTAGAATCGCATGTGGTTGATGAGCGCACCACCCCAAATCAAAAGTCGATCCGAAAATACGGGACTAGCTCGCGTGTTATCTCGGGGCAATCCTCCCTCCCATTCATTGTAGGATTTTTGGCATTTATCCAAAAAGCCTTGAAGGGTTTGCACGTTGGTGTTTTATGATCCCGTATGACGATAGCGACTTTTATATCAAAGTCGTCTCTGCTATGCTTTTGTATCCTATGCGTCCCTACTAGGGTATTTTATCTTGCTTTTCGTTTGCCATCTGGATGTTCTTTTATACGGATAGATAAAGGTCTGTCGATTTCGCCAATATATTCGTCTCCGCAAGTATTACAAGAGATAGGCGATATCGTACCTGAAGTCATGCATTCATCATCTTTGCCACAAGGGCAAATTGCGCAATTCCGTTTACAGCAATTCCTTGTTAAAAAAAAAGTGCTGGAACCTGTGTCTTTTCGCTTGAGGAATTTGTTAGATTTGCTTTTAAAATGTAAGGGCGATAAAGAGATGTGGAACGTTAAGTTTAGGAATTCTAATGAAATCACTTTTGTAGTGGGGATGTCTTGGTGCGACTATCGGCGCCGGAATGCAGTCGCTGACAGGGGCGCCACGTTTGTTGCAAGCCATCGCTTCCGGTGATCAATTACTTTTCTTTACCTTATCTATTCGTTATAAATTTTTTTAACTTAATACAAGAGGAATGTACTTGAGGATTTTCCTTAATATTCCTTAATACTTTTACTAACAATTCAAAATATTTTCCAAATTCTCCTGGTGATTGGCAATCTGAAATCACACGTATTTAATCGCTTTCTAATATTGTATCGTTCCATTGAAAGCCACATTGTTGACATATTCTCACCCAGAAAATTTAGAAAATATTCAAAATTACTGAGCCTCACTAGGAGATATTATGGGAGAACTGGTCTAAGTAGAGCGTTATGCATGAGATCCTCAACCGGTTCTGATAGTGGGACAAAAACCCGGTCGGGGTGTAGATACAATAGCAATTTCTTACTTCCGTTGGAATAGACCTTCTAGGGAAATCGCTGGGAAGAACCAACGAATCTGTTTGTTTCATTAAATATGGATAAAAACGAATTGGAAGATTACTAATTGTCTAATATACAGTTGCAAGTCCACGTTATTGTTCTCGTTTGCAGATGATGTCATTCCGTTTCTAAAACCATTTCGAAAGATGGACAATCGCGGTGAACCGATCCGAGCCATCTTCGTCACACTGCTCATCTGCTGGTTAGGCATTCTCATCGCCGTCATCGAGAACATCACCGCACTCATCACTCAGTCAGTTATTTTGATTATGAACACTCTCCGACAGCTGAATTTAGCCTTCTGATGGAGACCGCGCTAATTTTTTTATCAATAAAAATATTTTCAGTAGAACTTTATAGTACTAAAGTGTTGCGTTTCCACTGGGAATCCACGTAACTTAATCAAATAAATGTGCCAGGTTGTATTTGAAGTGAGCACGAACAAACAAAAGTGGAAAATCACCAATGAAAAGTGTGACAGTTGAACAATCCGAGAGAAATCAATTGTGCCTAATGTCGTGGTGGAGACGATTTATGTGATGCTTGCGATAGCGTAGGATTCATATAGTAAAGAGAGAATCATCAACATAGTGACGGTTTGGATCTCGATGAAGATAGTGTTCTTCTTCGAGGCTGGTATGTGTGCTTTCAGATTTTTCCTGATGTGCTATTTGGGTGTGAATACCGCATGTGCTCTGCAATCACTGCTCAAATCACCTGGATGGCGACCGTCATTCCAATATTTTCACTGGTACGATGCTTTTTCAGAATAAATAGTAGAGGTGATGCTGATGTCTCAGAGCTTCAATAGCTCAAAATTTTTAATCTTAACAGGAAGTACCATCACTGTAAAGTTTAGGTGTCTCTTAGTCACCTGTCTTAAACGGTGAATGTTATAGTGGGTATCACTGGAAAACAGTCACCAGTGTGAAAAATTCGAAAAGTAATACCTTAATGGATTAAGTTAGACTCGATCCTACTGTATTTCATTCTTTGCTTTTCTTTAAATAGTGTCTTACAATTCATTTGACTAAGTAATGACTTCCCTAATGGTCTACCTTATCAATGTGGCGAAGAATGTTATAAGGTGGTTCTATTCAGCTAAATTTAGCTATGCATAGAATCATTGATACCAAAAAGGGCTATTTGGAAAGCCATTGGCTTCTGGAAGCGTCCTGGTGTGGCTATTAAATCAGCGGAAAACATTTTCTTCCTACCCAGTAAATCGATGGTCAAACGAAGTTGTGTTAGACACAAAGTATATCTTTCCTAGAACGTTATAAGTGTACATATGTCTAAATCACTCGCGATCGCTATCACCTTGCGTTGGCTCCCATAAACTCCGCATGAACTACGTTGTACTTTTTCATGCGTTTCACCGACGTGATTTCACACTTTAAGGTCTTTGTCGATGTTCGGCGCTTTTCTATGCGTAGCAGTGATGTTTATTTCGGCCTGGCATTTCGCTTTAATTGCAATTTTTATTGGCGCTGCCGTCTACAAGTACATCGAATACGCGGGAGCTGAAAAGGAATGGGGGGACGGCATCAGAGGACTCGGATTGAGCGCCGCCAGGTGGGTTTCCATCTCCTGGAATAATTCATAACTCATTAAGTAAATCACTTAAGATTTGCATTGCTAAATCTTGACAACAAACCACAGCACACTCGAAATTGGCGGCCACAGCTACTCGTACTCCTTGACAACACCGACTCAGCAAACACTCGCGGAATGCTTTCATTCGTCAGCCAGCTGAAAGCTGGAAAGGTAAGAACCGGCGGAAAAAATGCCATTCATCGTCACCAGTTTTTTTTAAAGCTTACGAAACCAGATCAATTTGGACATGACAAACTTGTTGTTTTTTACATTCGACTGAAATAAATTTCACAGAGAGTGAAAGCAGAAGTGGTTCCTTACATGTGAATACCTCCCAGTGGCGTACCACGTCATTTAGGGAATAGGATAGGGCAAGCTGCGGTGTGCGAAATTGATTTTAAGACGTAGAAATTTTTCTCACTTTGTACGTTCAACGCGAGAACAGTCTCAAACGTTAGTGTCCAAGCTATCCTTGTTGAAGCAGGTCACATCAAATTGAGCGCGTTCCCCACACAAACCAAGTTCAGGAAGGTTGACACTAAGCCATATAAGTCACACAGTCCTAATTATCCGTGGAGATGAAAAGTTTGCTGTTGGCTTTCTCGCACCTCCGTTCGTTGCCTATTTCTTGGCCATTCTCCATCTTCAACCACCGCCAAGTTATCACTTACTATACTTCTGACCCAAATGACAACTGATGGACAAGAGCCGTTAGTGACTGGATTCCTCGAGATGTCAATCAACGGGACTACAGGTGATAGATGATACTTCTCACCATTCGTTGCCTACATGACGAAAGTGATTAAGGACTACTACGATGCCGAGACATTTGCAAAACTTGCACCCTAGGCCAGATTCGACCTGCTATTACCCTTTCCAGGGCATCACGTTTTATCCACAGCACAGCTAATGCTCTTGCTTTGCCTTTCTCTCGGCCAGTTTTCTTCCCTACCGGTGCCACCAGCAGTCACCTGTCCATGGAATTAATAGGTAATAAATAAAAAGTTAAAAACTGTGATTCCAAATAAAGCCTTAGCGTAATTGTGTTTGATGCTGATTTGTGCTCAACAGATCATTCTCATAGAAGGGTAATTGCTGATGGCACCGTTAGGGTAAAAAACTAGCTGAGAGAAAGCGAAAGCGAGCTCGTCAGTGGCACGGTGGGTAATTTGCAGAATGCGGCCTCAGTTCTCCAATCAAGAACTTCACATCGTGTCTTCACCATTTAAATCCAAGTATATCATGCCTTACACGATAAGAAACAAATTCCAGTTTTTGAAAATTCTTGGACTGAAAATGGCATATAAAGAAGAATCATCAAGAGTAAGTCAAAAAACAGCCACTCAGGGAAGGGAATGCCATCGGGATCCGTGCGAATATGATGTTCCTTTAGCAGCTTCGATGAACAAGGATGGTATTGGTGTCATCTCACGCCATTGCGCCTTTTGCCTCTTTTCTCACTTCTCACATTTGTCCTCTTCGAACTGCGCTCTACAGTGACGAGGCGAATGGCGTCATTTTAGCTCTCATCCACCGAAGAGAGCGCCATTCTTGAATAACAACCCTATCAACTGTTCTAGAAAACGCAGACCGAAAATGAAGCTCTTCTATCGATCCTCTATCATACCCATAGAAAAACAGACTACAGAGCTACATTTATCCGGCTGAAAGTTCTCACCATGGAATTGTAGTCATTATTAAATCGCTTGAGAAAACAAGAGCACATGCTGTGATACCAATTTTTTGAAAAAATAGAAAGTAATGTAAAAATCTCCAGCAATGTCTAGCTTTTATTTTCTACCCATTGTTCTTGAATCTTCTACAATCTTTCCATTTTGCCAAAGATACGGTCATGTTTTAGAGGAATAAAGAAGAAGTGCTAAAAGTACACAACTAAGTTCAAAAAATATGGAACTGGGAATAATTCAAAAGAAAATCCAATTTACGAAGAACTCATGACCGGATGGAAAACAAGTCGAAATGGATGCTTTACTAAGCCGGCTTTTACTTGACCTCGGATTGAATAATCAATATATCTCCTTAGATTATTCACCCTAAAATAGGTCGTTGTATACCTCTTACTGAGCTAACGTTTCGCCGCCTTAGTCCTCTTCAGAAATTCGAAGGAAATGAGCAGTGTTCTAGTCAAGAAAATTCGACTCGATAGGACAATAGAAACGCAAACCGTGGGGACGAACAGGTGGGACCATTCACTCGATTTGATCGGCTTCCAGGAAGACAAAAACATTGAAACGTCAGGACAAAAAACATTATATAACCTCGTGTAGGCTGAGCAATCTAAGGAAATATATCTAAATGGATAATTCTCCTATTGGCGAAATGACATCTAAAGTGTAACTAAAACGGAGAACAAGCGAAGAAAATAATATCTAGGAGAAATTGTTTAGGAAAACTGTTTGGCGGAGTTCGGGAGAACTGCGGTTGAAAGAAACAAATAGAAAATATGTTAGTGCTCATAGAACTAGTTAATGCGATACATCAAAGGGTTGAAAGTGTTACAGTATCTACAGCAGAATTAGCATCTGCTTCGGTTTCTCTCGCTTGCAAAGCGTGGCCTCCATGGGCATTTTCTCTACTGGTGTTTATCGATTAACATGTAATTTCATGATGTCCATTTCGACCTTATCGAATGCTTTATACACTACCATTGTATACTCTACCTATTCCATTTTCCATAAATATATTGTATTGTGGAAACTCCGTGCTTTATCATTTATACATGTACCTGGATAGCACAGTGGTAGTGATGTCCGTCATCACGAGCATGGTGCTACTTCGATTCCGCTCGAGGCCAACCAAGCCTCTCATCCCTCCGGGGTCGGGAAATTGGTACCGGACTTGTCGGGGAAAAAATCACTGTATGCAATCCAACTGGGAACGCTTCAGCCCGGCTATCTCGAGACCCCAGGGGGAATTGCTCGACCAGCATTCTACGACATTCAAGATGAAATGAAAATCGTCAAGCAGCAACCGAAGATACACGTAAAGGTGGAAGATTCTCGTGGACAATGGATGAGAGGAAACGAGCTGAATGTGAGAAGTGCTGGGATCCGCAAAGTAAACGCGAAGACGGGTCAAAATTTAAAAAAATCCATTTACCTGTTTATACAACCCATCTACTTTACAACCTTTAAAATAAACAAAGCATTTTCACCGTAATAAAAGCTGGTTATAGGGTCTCACTCTAGTTGCGATGTGTGCAGAAGGTGATTTCTCCAGAGATGCCGATGACGCCTTCAAACAAGAACGGGTAAACGACACTTTTTTGAAATTCTTCCTTCTTGTTTGTTCTGTTTTTCTCCCATTTCTTATTTATTATAATGGTCCTGCAAGAAGTCTATCACTCTCTTGAAAGTTTGAATGAGTCAAAACAACTGATTAGTATTGCATATTTTAGAACCTCGATCTTCTAATGAAGAAGAACAAGATCAAGGGATTCGGTGATGTGCTTCTGACGGAGGACATAACTGAAGGTGTTAGCTGTCTAATACAGGTGCAATCTTTTTAAAAGATGTTTTTTCGGAAAATGTGTGCACGAATATCGCTGTCAAATGGGCTCTCTCTTAGCAGTATTATTTCTCATGACGTGGTTTCCTATTTGAGGACTGTTTAAGAATATGTTTGAAAACTCCTCGCAGGGAATGGATGGTCAAATCAGTATAGCGCAGTTCTTTCATAGATACGCAGGAATCACCAGATCCATCAGAAGCCTTAGTTTGGAGTTGAGAAAACTGCATGAATTCGTACTCTGGGTATCAATATTCCGCGTTTAGTTCGATGCTTATTGGTTTTTAGGTATAGGTAGTCATAAGGCGACATGTCTCCGGAAAGAATCCATCTATAATTAAGGTCTGGTTGAAAGAAAATTGGTTCATTTATATAAGATTTGCTTCACTGTTCCTTGTAGCTTCCTTTTCAGTGGTATAAACTTGGATCGTAGTCGATATTATTTTTTCCTCCTTTGCTCTTATTCTGTTTTCCATCCTCATACTGCTTTAATTAAGACATCAGCATGAAAATGAAACTAATCCACAACGGGAAGTAGACTGACATAAACTATCGATTAACCCTTGCACTATCACTTGTCATTGAAACGCAATTGAGATGCGCATTGAATTGAAGACACACGGTCCATAAGTTCACACAAGAAGCACACGCACTGCTTTCCTGGGATTATCATCCTATTTTTCGGTCCTCCAACTTTTTTCCATATTCCTCTAAATTTTACACGTCCGCTATATTCTTCTGTATATGTGCCCGTGTTCATGGTCACCTCTTATGTGATCCAACTCTTGTCCGTGGTGAAAAAATTCGTCCATTATCTAACCATAATGTTATTAGCTTCCTGCATGTTTTTGTATCATTAATGAAGTCTATTTCTGTGTCTTCTCACTGTTTTTTTATATTCACCGATTCCATTCTACAATCCGAGACGCTTTTCCAAGTATGGGCTGGAAATACCTACCAATACATTAGCCAGCCCCAGTACAGAATCTGTGTTCGGCAAGCCATCGACTGACCATTAAAGGTCATGAAGGCGTTATATGATCAAAAAGTAATGTATCAACCCGAAAATATTGAAAGAGAAGTAGTTTGGTCAAGCCGGTGCACCAAACATTTATTACAATACTAAAGGCTCAATGCTTTCACTACCCCGGCTATATCAAATTGGCTGGCTCATCGGAAAGTGAGTCATTGGAGCTCGCCTTGGGTAGGCGTTGCAATCTGTGTGCACGCTTGTGAAGGATTAAACGGCAAGGGAAAAGCGTTAGATGTTGACGAATCCTGAAAGGATATATAATACTATGCACTTTCCAAAAGCATCGTAGAGGTCATTGAATGCCTATTTGGCCTATGCAATGATTTGTGATTGCCTAGTGAAATCTTAAGTCAGTGTCCTTATTTCGCCAGACAAGTCTAGCACCGAAGTAATGCAGGGCTTGGTTTGTCCAGAGTGCGGGAACCGAACCATTGATCATACTTTACTTCTGGGCACTCTGCGTTACAGATGCCCCATCTTGCATCCGAATAATTTTATTAACCGAGACGAAACGATAACATAGTTTCCAAGGTATTAAATTGGACACTGCCAATAGACTAAAAAATAGCTTTTCTCTTTTGATTGGGGAAGATAATTTTTTACAACTACTTGTTATGTCGAAAATCGGTGGTGTTCGGTAACCGTGTGTGAGCAGAAGTTGAATAAACGTTCGATATGGAAAGGAAAACTACCTTGCCTTTTCAGTATTTTAATATTTATGACATCAGATAGCTGGAATTTCAGACATCCGGTCTAGGAGCCCTGCGCCACAACACGGTAATGATTTCATGGCCGGAGCAATGGAACACGGAACACTCATGGCACGTCGGACACCGATTTGTTTCGGCTCTTCGCGCTTGCTCAGCTGCCAAGTATGTTTCTTTCGTTAGTCTTTCGATTAACTTGGGCTATGGCGCTACGAGACGGGGTAAATCCATCTCTTCGAGCTAATTCGGTGTTTTGCAATCAATATACACTTTGTTTTAGATAAAGTGACAGCTATTATAAGTGCATAGGATGGTTCATAATACTTCTGTATGATGCAAGTATGACAAAGAGAGTACATGGAGGAATAAAAATGCATTAATACACTGTTTTCTTGGCGAACAAGTACGAGATTATTAAAGGAAAGATTTATTCAGTACAATACTGGCTGACGTTTCAGTTGTTTCGCCTTCTTCAGAGCCTGGAAGTGTCAACACCAGCATAACCTCAGCAAACAAAACTTAACATTTAACTATTTATTCGCCTACTGAACAGCTTTTCTTAAAAACTCACCGTTTCCTTTCAATCGTAAGCTAGTTGACAGAAGTGTGTCTGGCTTCTTATCCATGTAAGACTTGGTGCAGCTGACTTCCAGTGATAGCTGGAGAACTTAAAAACAATCAAATGGTGAGTATTTGAGAGAACCTGTTCACTATGCGATTAAACATTTAGCTATTAACTTTTAACTGCTGGGGTTGCGATAGTGTTTTGCTGGATTGTGTCAGCTTGACTCTTCTTTCGTTGAATAAAATAATGAGATCTATATTATTCCTTTCTGAGACATACTGGTACAAGGGCAACCTTTTTCAGAGTTGAATTAAGCATTTTGTTTCTATAATGCTGATATATTTGCAAAACTCCGGACCGCAGGTGTATGCGGTGGAGAACGAACGCGCTATTATCCTTACCGGGGAGCAACGCGTTCACCACCACACCATGTGAATCCTTCGTTTCGCCTGTCTCTCAGCTAGTTCTTAAGCATTTTGTGATTACTAATTGCTTTTCCTCCCAACGGTTTACCGCTACAACGTGGCTGGGAGGTGTTTATGGAAGTCGGGCTGCGATGTACAGCGCGGGAACCCCCAGCAGATTCTTCCAATCTGAGAATAAATCCGGCGTTTCCATTAGCAAGTCCAGATAAGAGTAAACCAATGCAAGGATTCACCACTATCCTAGTATCTAACTAGTCGCTTGGTGGAAAATCTCCTTTTGATCCACAAAGGCGGCGACTGCTTGTGGTAGTGACGACTTGGTGCAGACTTTGCCCTGGCTAACCTCGGGACTCCAGGGAACCACAATGCCTAAATCAGCGAAACTCCGAAAAATGGAAATTATGCTGAGGCCCGTACAGCCGGTGAAGATGGGCCATCCAAGTATCCAATTAATTAAGTATTTGCTTTTCAGATGCGCGATTCTTGTTCCGAAGAATGTGGACCAATTTCCAGCATCCAACATCAAGGTTTTCGGTTACTTTGATGTTTGGTAAGTGTGGTTTGGATACGCATAGTGTATGTTGGCCTTCATTATATACGCGAAAAATACGTTCATTTTATTCGACTTGTAATGCCATGAATTTCAGTTCACTTAGATACATGGATTTTGGTTATTGTCCCAGATATCGTTAATATTAACCTATAGAGAGATTTCGCGTTACTATTCTTTCACGACAATTTGGGTGAGTGATTTCAGGTGGGTGGTGCATGATGGCGGCCTGCTGATGTTGCTGCCGTTTCTGCTGAAACAGCACAAAACATGGAAAAACGTGTCCATTCGATTGTACGCCATTGCCCAGTTGGAAGTCAGTCAATGTTGATTTCTGCGCTTATAATCACCCTTTTAAACTCGGTAGAGTGTTGAGGTAATTAACACTGTGACCTCATCACGTACTGCTATGAAAGCCTCGAAATATTTTAAATTAACGGTCTGTCACTGTTATTGTGCCTGTTCATAAACCACTGTTTCTTTAAATTAACGAGCAATAATCCTATGTCGCAGGTTCGCGAATCATAAATGTAGCATTCTTTCATTCGATTCGTTTCCTCTACCCCATCATCCACGAAGGTCTGCGAATTTGTGTTGGGTTCAGCTTCTGCTCAACGATTTTTGGTCTTTTTCATGGACGTCGGTGAATGTTGATCGAATTTATCTTCTGTAGGTTCCTAAATTAATAAAGGGTTACCATGTATTCCCCACTGGAAATAGGTCGCTTTTGTGCTTCAAAGCGAGCACTTCCCACACAAGTCTGGTAGCAATTTGCCGACCTCAGAGGGACTGGAGGCTTGGTTGCTCCGGTGCAGGTGCGAAATAAAGCCTTGCGCCTAATTGAACAGCATCTCTACCACTGCACTACCACCAACCCGCACTAAAGAGCATAAACAAGTTTATTTTTTGTAGAGCAGAAATCAGTTCTAAACAGTTGCTTATTTTCAAACTTTTTATTTGCTCATTTTATTCAGGACAACAACGTGCAGATGAAGTCTGACCTCGAGAAGTTCCTCTATCATCTTCGCATAGAGGCTGAAGTCTACGTTATCGAAATGGTTTGGTGAAAGAATTGGTTCTTAAACATTTTAAACCTTGTCATTACTAGATGCTGTTAGAGACTCTTTACCACGAACCGCGAAATTTAAGTTTATAGTTTGTTTTCTAAGAATGATTAGAATCAAAGGAAAAGGTAGTTTTTTTTTGGTGAACATTACTGGTTGGAACACCCTAAATTTTGCTAAACACATAGAAATTTATGGGTAGTAAACATTATGCAGTTTAGGTTTAGGTTAAATTTCATCGTCTGTTTTCCCGCTGTAGGCTAAAGGGTTAAGCCCCATGTGATCATTCATGCAGCTGGAACGCGGTCATAAGCTTTCCATCTCTCCGAACGAAAAAATCCTTTGCTGATTTGGTCTGATCTCTGATCTCAGCTGATCACTGAATGGCATTTTTTAGGAGGCTGTCATATTTTTCCTTTGCTACTTCTCCTCAAAATTGCAGTGTAGTAGAGCATTGATGTAAACCGCTTCCGCTTCCTCAACTCAGTCAATGCAATTTGGATTGCTTTCGACTCTTCTGAAAAGCTTCGTAGTGCAATCTCCCTCCAATTTCTCTGATGGAAATGCTTTCCTAATGAAGTTGTACTGATGGACAATGCTTTTTAGGAAACTGGCCTCGAATAAGAGCTCACGTTGCCTGTTTCTACCAAAAGAAAAGAAGGGAGCAATGCGTTAAAATATAGTAGACAACATGAGTCGTAAATGTCTCAGCATCTCCTGCGTTTTATTTTCTGCTGTTGTTGACAAAGACTGCTGTTTTCGCATTAAATAATACTTTTCGAAAGGAAAATATTTACTGGGCATTTTGTTTTATTCATAAACTTTCACAGAGTTTCTGCCATAAATTCTCATTGTGTCTGAAGCCCTAATGATTCGCACCGGTTGTAGACAATTGTTGCTTTTTGCAATATGGGCCTTCCGTAGCGGCATCGAGCCCAACCCACTGGAGTGGAACAACGCACGAATTATGTGCTCTACAATGCTCTTCTATACAAGATAGTTCTTATTCAAGAAAAATATTAAGCGCGGCAAGTTCACGATCTACATGAATTCTAATGCTATTTACCAGCCTAGTGCACAGGTACACATAGGAAAGTACTAAGGTGTTCCTGTTGGTTGCACACTTACATCGATCGAACGACTGTGGACCATCTACTCGGATCATCGGTATTAATGAAGGCACGGATGTGGAAACGTTACCCGAAAAAAGTCAACTTATCAACCTCGTATAAGCTCAATAATTTAGACAGATGTTGATTACATCGAAGGTTCGACGTGGGTTTAAAAGTGTGCTTCATTAATGCGTTTTGGTATCCCTCAAATAAACTCGCTCTACTTCCGCTCTGTGGTTCTGCTTTACAACATCGTCCAAAATATCAGCAACGAAGATTTCTTAAGCTTCTATCGGTTTCTTGCATCCAAGTAGAAGCAGTTAACTGACTCAGAATTAGCTGTCGTCGATGGTCCATTGACCCTGAAGTTCCATATGCTTTACAACTCATCACTTACTTCATCATTATAACGCTCGTCCTCACACTTCCATTCACCGCCTTCGAAATCTTCTATGACAAGCGCAAGATATTACCCGTTATGCTGGGTCTCTTCTGTTCCTTCTTTTCGACGAGAAGTCGGTCAAAAATGAGGCTTAGTTCATCTTTTGCCGATATGACTCAACTCTGTAATGTTCATCTTTCAGGAATACGTGATGGTTACTTGCTTTCTAATTTCTTTGATGAATCTTGCCTATAATACTGACTAGATAGAAATGAAAATTACGGAGTTAAAAGTTGAGATTCGATGATGGAATTTCATCACATGAGAGATGGAAGCATTTCAAAAAAAGGAAAATACATAGGGTAACATGGAGAACTCGTGCGAAAGGAGAAATGAAAAATACTGTTCAAATGTGTGAAAACCCAGAAAAAAAAGCCAAGCGAATTGCATAAAGATAGCACAACAAAAAGCGGGGTCATATTTTGTAAAGCATTTGTACTCTCTGAGTCGCATGCTACTCATACGGTGTCTAGCGATAAATTAGCTGCCATAATAAATTTATACAGTGAAGAGATTTATCCTTCCTATTGTATTGCTACATTTTATCGCCTTAATAAATGATAAGAGCTGAAAATTTTAGAAACAACTCACGAAATTACTTAAGCTGCTCATTTCGATCGAAATAATCTGAAGTAAGATGATGCAAAAGATTGGAAATGAGATGATGAAACTGAAGGTGATTGATGGGTCGCTCCATTTCAGCCAGACTCAGATATCTCGGATTACACGTACGAGCGAACACTGAAAATGGAGGAACGTACGAAACTGCTGAAAAATCTAAATAAGGCAGATCGTGAAAAGGATCTACAGACGCATATTGAAGAGGTTGTGAGGGAACGAAAGCTGAGCAAAATCAACGAAGATGAGCCGGTGGGTTAAAATTACCGTGATTGAAACGCGTTAACTATGTATAGACTGCAGGTCTTGGCTGTGGAGAACACCCTTGATGTGATGTCCGAGGACACGGCTGACTCCGAGTCGAGGAAATCTGCCAAAGTCGAAAGCAAAGGAGTGCGCTTCAGCGATGTGGGTATTGTGGACGATGTGAGCATTTGCACTTTGTTCTGCATGTCGATACAAACTCATAAACTGTAGACTATTGACGACTTTTTAGACTTCCATGGTCATTCTCAAGGTGCTTATACAAATTATTTGGTCTTCGTTTTGTGTCCTTGTTTCAATGAGAATTCGACGACTCAGAAACCCTTCATTAAGTCGAAATATGAATAGGAATTTTAAGAAATCGGAAAACTATAAAGTTAACTCGTATGAAATGCTGAGATATTTGCAAAACTCTGGACCACAGGTGTATGCAGTGGAGAACGAACACGCGCTGTTGTCCTTACCGGGGAGCAGCGCACTTCACCACTACACCACCCGGATGGAGAAAGGCAGAAGAAAAAGGCAGTAAATGAAAGAGTTAAGATTGTGACTATAAAGTTAGTTTGAAGAAATTTGACGGAGTAGTTGTTTAAGATTTATCGACTGATACCTAGCTTATTTTTGGATACTTGGATAGTTGGATGGCCCGTCATCACTGGTTATGCGGACCCTAGCATAATCTCCACTTTTTCGGAGTTTTGTTGGTTTAGCCAACAGTCTAGAGTTTATGAGTTTCCTGGAATCACGAGGTCAGGCCAAAGTTTCCCCCTTACCACCACAGGCAGTCGTCACCCTTATGGATCAGAAGGAGATTTGCCAACATGCGACTAGTTTGATACGAGGACGGTGGTGGATCCTAGTATTCCTTTACTCCGGGCTGAACTTCCTGATGAAAACGCCGGACTCCTCAGCTTGGAAGACCCTGCCAGGGGAAAGAATTCTCCCACTGCACATCGCAGCCCGACACCCAGGAACACCTCCCAGCCACGATGAGGCAGTAAGCCACTGGAAGGTATTTTTGGATAAAAAGGATAAAGCTCTCGGCGTTGACCAACCTCTGCGGATGCGCCATACATTCAACTTCATTAAGTATCGTTGGAGGTGATTGAATGCACATCTGGTCTTTACAACGATTTGTGGTGCCCAACCGATGTATCCAGCCAGTGCTGCTATCCTCCCAGACAAGTCCGGTATCAATTTGCCGACTCCAGAGGGATGGAAGGCTTGGTGAACCATGGGCGCGGGGGTCGATTCCACGTGTGTGTTGCAGGGCGCGTCCAACCACTGCGCCACGCGCGCCCTCGGATAGCGAATTGAAATCGAGAGCTCAAAGCGGATATTGTGAATTTTTTTGATTTTGATTTTAAGATCACGACTCTCACTGCCATCTATATAGTCGGCAGAAACTATTAGGCTTCTTTCGTTTTTTAAGTTTTATTAACAATACCCTTCTTCATACTTGCCTCGCATATGTCTTTTTTCCTCGCTTCTATATCAGATGTTCAGATCCACCAGCCGGGAAATGGTACTCTGGAGCGCGACACCGAGGAGAAACGGCGGAAACGACGCTACAACGTGCATAAGATGCATACAGCAGTGAAACTGAACGAGCTGATGAGGGAGAAATCCCATGATTGCCAGCTGCTCATCGTGAACCTACCTGGGCCACCCGATCATGATTCGGACACCTACTGTAAGTGACAATGTTAAGAACTCATCCTGTGTTACTCACAGACTAGATCCGTGTATGCGTAGTACTTACCATTTATATAAGAACTAACGATCCATGGTTAGTTGGCCCATCGTCAAATGTCGTTCAGCCCAAGCACGTCTTTTGCAGTTTCCTTGTCTCGCACCCGCCATCCATGGAATTGGTTGGGGTCGTGAATGTATTGAGCTGTGGCGTGAAAATCTGCCTTCATTTCTCATTATTTACGTATTGAATGCTAGTGGAATCTAGTGGAATGGGATTTTGTTCGAAATGCTAGTATAGCCGTAGTAGAACGTACCCAGGTTTTCACTAGAAGCAGTCGCTGACTCCTGTTTATTCAACTAGATTCGTTGTACTGTGACACCAACGATTTCTGCTGCTCGTAGAGCGGCCGATCGAGTACGATGCAAGAGGATATAATCGAATGCTGTTAATAATAGTTAAACTCTAACGTATCAATATCAATCATACTGAAATACATAGTATAATAGCCAAATCCAAGATCTGCTGCGCTTCTGTCCTGTGCCTCTGCTCCTTCGTTGTAAAAAGATGTCTGCAGTATAGGATGAGGAATCATGGATTTGCGCCAAAATCCATGTCACCTGTAATGCCCGCGATCTCTTTCATCATCCAGACGGCACAAGTAAACCCCACCTTTTCACTGGTCTACAAATGATATGCAGATGCGAAGAAAATGTTCAGTATGAGGTCTTTTAATAAGAAGTTTTACTGTCTTTAGCGTTAAAGTAACCACTGAAACTCTGTCATACTATGCGTTTACTACTACCTGGGTTTTGAGATGCGAATGTATCTTCTTCGGCTTCGAAGACCTTGATGGGCCATGAACTCCTGCAGTACATCACAGCTCGACACCCAGAAACACCCCAGGCTGTGAAAATTGAAGTAGAATTCGTGTAGAAGCCATTTTTAAAAAGGATTTAACTATGGTCCATAATGGTTTACTTTTAGATGAAAATTTAGAAAATAGTTTTCACTCTATTATTAGTGCATATTCTAGTACCACATAAACTATACTGTCATTTTGTTTCAATTATTAGAATCACCTGATTATAAGACCCTCCATGTGTAACTCACTAGTTAGACATGTCCTTCAACAAGCATAACGTCGTTGGTTTGATCCTGTCCTTCGCGCTAATCATTCTTTCAGCGCTAGCAAATTCCAGTCTTGTCTGGGAGGATAAACGTTCGATACATCGGTAGACCTCTTCAAGTAACTGTGAAGGGAAAATACGTGCTCAATCACCCCTACAATGCGTGAATAAGCTTAATACATTGAGCATTTCCCGGAGACTGATCAATGCCAAACGCTTTAGAGGAAATTTCTCGAAGAACTTCAAAAATTACATCTCAATTCGAGAAAATCTTTACTCTGTTGCGAAACTTGATGGAGGTAGCTAGTAGGGTTCATCGAATGACTAAATATCTAACCCGTAGACTGTTCAAAAAGTCGTTTTACTTCATACTTGATACTTGATACTTGAACGACCCGTCATCGCTAGTTGTGCGGGCCCTAGCATAATCACCATTTTTCGGGGATTTTCTGGTTAAGCCATTGTGGTTTGCTGGAAACTCGAGGACAGCCTGGCCAATGTCTGCCTCAGATCGTCACCACGATAGGCAGTCCCAGCCCTTGTGGATCAGAGGGAGATTTACCACCATGCGACTTTGATACCAAAACGGGGGTGGATCCTAGTATTGGTTTACTCTTAGCTAGGCTTCCTGATGGAAACGCCGGACTCCTCAGCTTGGAAGAACCTGCCATATGGACGAATCTACATCGCAGTCCGACACCCAGGAACACCTCCTAGCCACGACGAGGTGGTAAACCGTTGGGAGGCGTCGTTTTATTGGTTGTTAAATCATATTTCGTATTTTTATTGCGAACCTTGGAATTTCAAGAATCACTGACATTTTATAAATCCTATCCCATCTTCATGGTAAGTTTGATCATTCTCAACCCTTTTCAGATATGGAGTTCATTGAGGCGCTGACAGAGGGATTGAATCGGGTGTTACTGGTGCGAGGCACGGGCGCAGAAGTCATCACCATCTATTCATAGCCTCTCCTCTGTCACCACCATGCCGAGCGAATATTCTGCTTTTTTCAACAATTTCTGCTTTGTTCTTGCACTGCGGGTACGCCACTGTAAAAGCCATGCTCATTTCGTCATGCACTGAGAAACAGCATTTAAATCTAAAGCAACCCATACATTACTCTTAATGACTCGTCAAAGCTTGCCAAGTGCCCTTAACCCTTTCACGACCATGTGTATTAATTTCGATATATATATATATATATATATGCCGCTGTACGTCACAAACTGTGCATCTTGATTTCAATGCGTAGGTTTTTCTCATGCCTATTTCGTAGGACAGAACTTTTTTGCCAGACTTTTTGTAGTCAATCGATAGCTCGTCGAACACTAATTTTATGCTGCAGCCGTTCCATAGATAAGTGATTTCAATGCGCTATACTCGCAAAAGAACGTTTTCGGGAGGTGGAGTGAAATCGGTGGATATAAGAAACAAGCAAGAGAAGCAGAAATCTTCAACTATCATAGAAACAATAGGAAAATCTAAAGACATTATGTTTAGATAAGGTATGGATTTTTTCATCACATGCAAGAATTAGATCACTCACTGCAGGTGTCGAAAAACAGGGAACAGAAGGGCATAGTGGATACGCGGAACACTTGTGAGGTTAGCAAGTAATAGAGAGATAACCAAGGAAAAACCTGTAGGTGGCGCCTTTTGAGTGGACTCACCAACCGTACATGTTGATATCAATGCACACCTCGATCGCGCTCCAATGACATGCGGTCGTGAAAGGGTTAAAGCTTAGCGGACACCTGTTGCGAGTACTTTTGGTTCTGTTACCGGTATCCTTTTATGAAGGTTCCTTTGACATATTGGTCAGTTCTACTCACTATCAGTTCTTGGTTAAAAGTAGGAGAATCATTCTCGATTATCTGGAGCTACCTAACTCGTACTATTGATGATTGTTTTAAGACCACTGATGATGTATTGAAGCACCGACAAATATTAGTAACAGAATTCGTTCTTCTTTTCTCTCTTCCTCACCCACTCTCTCTCCCTCTATTCCTCTCTCTCTCTCTGTCTTACCAGGGTTTGCGAGTATTAAATTTGTATGCGTGCGTGTGTCTGTGCGTTTACTTCCTGTTCTCTCTGAACTTAGGTGACCAGTTTCACTTCGGTGATTCATATGGACGTTGTCATGTAGCTGAGAAAGTAACAGAAACTACTTACTATAAATATATGGAATTGAGACAATTCAGTTTATAAATTTATAAATGTTTTACCCATTTGTGTTTGAATTCTTGAACGATCAGTGTTCGATAATGACTTGCTCAGGGCATTCTCACGTACCACGTGCATCCATCGATTTTATGGATTTGAGTGGTGTTTGCTATCTTCATCTGTTTATGTTGTTGAGCTAACACGAGGTTGATACATGTTTATTCGGCTAACGTACAGTACCGAGGTTAAATAACGGTCGGTGTCAACATTATAGCTTTGCCATCTTTAGAAAAGGGGCGGATAGCACAGTGGTAGCGATGTCCGTCATCACGAGCATTGAGCTAGTTCGATTCCGCTCCGGGCCAACTAAGCCTCTCATTCCTCCGGGGTCGGAGAATTAGTACCGGGCTTGTCTGAGAAAAAGTCACTCTCTGCTATTTAGTTGGTAACGCTCCAGCTCGGCTATCTCAGGACTCCAGAGAGAATTTCTCGACCAGCATTCCACAACATTCAAGATGAAATGAAAATCCTCAAGCAGCAGCCGAACCCACACGTAAAAACTTGGAAGATCTCCTTGGACGATACATGCGAGGAAACGAAGTGGATGTGAGAATTGCTGGGATCCGCACATTAAAGGAGGATCAAATAGAATAAAAAAGAGTAATATCTTTAAACCAGATTTTTACTAAGCGGGTGGCAATTTCTAGTGTAGATCTATTCATTGGTTAAGACCTGTGGCTGCATCTCAACGTCCGTAGTGGGATCGTTTCGTCTGTATTCAAATTTATGGCCAGACTGATAATATATTATATATTATTATAATATTATAATATTTCTTTTCTGGTTACTATTTAATGTACTCAACTAGTGTTGAAGACTATTAATCCACGACAAAGGAACCAAAAGCGATGGCGAAATTAACAAAACTAGGCAGGAGTGTCGACAAGTCGGCCAAATAAACATCTAATAGAAAATAACGTTCTCTACTGCAACTTTATTCTTCATACGTTCTGATAGTACTGAGTGCATACATTCATATCCTATCTTAGCCAGCGGGCACGCCAGCAAATACGGCAACTATAACCATCAGATACACCACCGGGCATAATACTAGGCACCATGCACTGCTTGGGGGCGATACCTTGCGACCCATGGCATGACCCCGCAACCCAGGCTACTCGCTCAAATCTAACCACGCCTCTTAGCACGGCCATCTGCCTTCTGACGACGCCTTGGAGTTCGCCATTGCCCTTTTCCTTCATTTTGTTTTCGCACTTAATATTCCTCCTTCAAAATTCCTTCGATTCGCGTGTACAAAATTGCTGTAAACTAGAGTCTTAAGCTATTGCATTATCAGCAAATTAAGGTTATCAGCGATTCACATCTAATCCTGCTGAATAACCTACTGAATTGGCGGTTCAGTGGTAGAATGCTCGCCTGCCAAGCGGACGACCCGGGTTCGATTGCCGACCAAGGCACCGAAATTGTTGGGACGGCTCGCTGTTATATGAATAGTTAGTTAGTAGTAGCTAAGTAGTTAAGAACACTCGATCAGACTAGCCGCTCGCCTTTGCTTGTGCCACTGCGGGGCTTTTCGTGAATGGCAGTCACAATGCTGGACACCTCAAACTTGAGTAACCAAACCTTTATATATACATATTATTTGCAACAACGCAAATAAATTCCGCGATATATGTGCAATAAGTTACAAATAAGGTGTTTCAGTGACAAGTTGCATTAACAATGACACATAATGTTATTAAGCAGGCTGATATTGCTATGACTACAAGGTTAGGATTTACGTCATCATAGTGCAAGAATGTGATAACGATTAGTAGAGTATCTGTGAACACTGCGAGTATTTAGGATAATTGTTACCTCAACAACAGGTATTAGGTGTGAATCGCTGATAACCTTAATTTACTGATAATGCAATAGCTTAAGACTCTAGTTTACAACAACTTTGTACACACGAATCGAAGGAGTTTTGAAGGAGGAATATTAAGTGCGAAAACAAAATGAAGGAGAAGGGCAATGGCGAACTCCAAGGCGTTGTCAGAAGGCAAATGGCCGTGCTAAGAGGCGTGGTTAGCTCTGAGCGAGTGGCGTGGGTTGCGGGGTCACGCCATTGTTCGCAAGGCATCACCCCCAAACAATGCATCGTGCCTGGTATTGTGCCCGGTGGTGCATCTGATGGTTATAGTTGCCGTATTTGCTGGCGTGCCCGCTGGCTAGGATAGGATATGAATATATGCACTCAGTACTATCAGAACATATGAAGAATAAAGTTGCAGTAGAGAACGTTATTTTCTATTAGATGTTCATTTGGTCGACTTGTCGACAAGCCAAGACCCAGCCCAAGGCATCCTCGTGTTCTTTGTTCTCTTCACTACAACCTCGGTGCTCTTGAAAGCCCCTAAGCCGTTCCTTTTCTTGTGCTCGAATCTGAAGCTACGTCGTTCAACATGTTGATTTCCCGAACTAGATAGACGTAACTGGAGTATTCGGAGATATTCGTTCTGCTGAGCCTGAATGCGGTATGCGAAACCAATCCGTTCTTCACGAACACTGCTTTTGTGAGATTTAGTCGAAGATCAATATTTCCACAGGCTTTACCAAAGTCGTCAAGCACACATTCCGCTTGGCTAATGTTTGGTGTTATAAGGACGATGCCATCAACAAAGCTAAGATGGTGTAACTGCCGACCATCGACTACGTTCTGGAGGGCGGCGGTAAATAATTTTGACGAGATGGTATTGCTTTGCATAACTCTCCTTTTGACGTCAATGTTAATATCGTTGCAGGATAGTGATATCTCCGCCATGAAATTTTTGTACAGCTCACGAAGAATCTTTATGCACTGAGTAGGAATTCCCTGTCTATCAAGGGCTTCCATGACTGCTTCTGTCTTGAGTCAGAGGCCTTATTTAAGTCGATGAAAGTGAGGCAAAGCGGTCTTTTGTACTCTCGCGATACTTCAATGAGTCTTGTTATCCTGTGGATGTGGTCCATGGTACTAAATCCTTTTCGAAACTCTGCTTGCTCACGCGGCTGTCCTTCGTCCACTGTTCTCTCAATCCTGTTTAGGATGACTCGAATGAAAAGTTTGTAGACGACAGACAGCAAGCAGATTGGGCGATAGTTGCCGATATCGTGTTGGTCACTCTTCTTGAGAAATAACACGGTCTTGATGGTGTTCCACTAAGTAGGGATCTTGCATTCAGACAGGTAACGTGTGAGGAGCCGAGCCAGTGTGCCTACGAGGACTGGCGGAAGTTCATCAGACGTTCTGATCTTAACCTGTCCGGATCTGGTGCCGTTCGATTTTTCACCGACGAAATGGCATATCGGATTTCGGAAGGGAGAACCGGTGGTACAACATATCCAGCCTCCTTTATTTCATGTGACGGAAGGTGGACATAGCTATCGAAGAGATCTGAGTCGTACTCGCGAATGACTTTCTGCATTGCCCTTCTGGACGCTGTGACTGTTCCGTGTGGGCGTCGGAATGCAATCATCTTGGTCGTGTAACTGGTGAAGCTTCGGTGGGCTTTACGAATGCTTTTCCAGCCTCTGCAGCTTCGACCATTACTGATGCTCTTCTCTCTTTAGGATCTTCCTTTATCGCTTGTCTGCATTGTTTTGCAGGTCCGGACGTTAGTTCACGATTGCCTGCAGCTCGTGCGACTCCACGCTGGCGGATCTGCTCTAGTGTTTCTGGAGACAGACTATAGTAACTATTCCTTAAATAGTTCCTATTCTTTACATTATCACATGTATTCTTTCTTGATAAGTTTGTACGAGGTTGATAAATATATTTATTTTCGGCTAACGTCTCGGCGTCTTCGTCTTCCTCAGAGCCGATGGTCCGAGTCGATGGTCCATGATTGTTGTTCGTCTCGACGTTGCAACTTCGCCTTCGTGTCGAGCCAGGTCTTCCTCAGTGAGCCATCTTCTCGAATAAGGCATCCTCACTCAGTGATGCCCTTTTATACACGATGCTGATGGTGGATATATAATGATAATGTCCGATGGTAACAACTTGAATTTCTTCCACATGTGAGAAATTATCACATGTGTCCTATATTAAGTATTTACTTATACCTATCTTAAATCTATCCATTCATAATGTATAAGTTTCAATACCGCTTCGACATGTACTTTCGTTAAAAGCCTCTGGCATACCGTCTCATTTGATGTGCTTCTCCGCAGGTACCTTGTCATGACCTGGGTCAGCACTGTCTCTGAGTTCCTCTGTGAAGCCCCACGTTATTCCATCTCATTCACATGACCTTTTGATAAGTGTTTGCGTAGCCTTTCGGATAACCTTTATCCGAGGGCTATTCAAAGCTCCACCCACTACAGAAGTAATACAGCCAGCCTATGGGCATTCGTCTTCAAGCGTTTGCAGCGTTCGTTCGGTCTTCACTCAGTCTCTCGGCTCCTCAGCGCTCCAGCTCTAGTGTCCGCTTAGTTTACTTCAGCTGCATAACTTGTTCTTTTTTCAATCTCGCTCGTATATATCCAGTTAACCACACTTCGTCACCTATTACATATTGTTGTTGTACCGTTGTTATTGCTATAAACTGTTATAAACCAAACTCGAGGTTGTCCACGTCAGCTGCGAAAAAAAGTCCCGCGTGGCGAATTCATAGAAAGTCGAGCATTCCACGTACGGCTGGAGAATAAAGGCAAATCCGACCAACTCCTTGATCCACTGGCAACTAACACACAGACGTCTCTTGGTGACTTTCGAACTCTAAGCTTTCATAGTGCTAACATGAAGATGTTGGATGAGCCGATCGTATTCTTCGTCGATGTTACCGACAACGGCATCTTCTCAAAAGCCGACTAATGAATTGAATAAGTCCCAATTTGCGGTGGTTCTGGGACTTTGGTTTTTGAATTTAGGGGCTTTTTCTCCTATCCGCGAGAGGTAGAATCTTGCATGAAAGAGACGATGGTCTGATCCCGTGTAGAATTTTGGGACAACAGCGACATCAGTTAGGCAGAACCTTCTATTTACTATGACATGGTCTATTTCGTTATAGTACTCTCCATTGGGAGACTCCCACGTCGGCGCAGCAGAAACAAATAAGCTGGATCCACCTGCGTCTCAGAGAAGCAAAGGTTGCTTTTGGTCCGCGATTAACCCCCTACCCGCCATCTGGGACACGCCACGTAGCCTCGCGACTAACTGGTTATAGGGATCCGTTATATGAGAGAAATCCCTAGAATTCGATACTTAAGCTTAAATATTCGAAAACGCAAACCCACAACTAATTTTAAGGGATTGAATTTGTTAAATCTTTTTAAAACATGGAGCGCTTCATATAATGGAGACTCTCAAAGTAGTATTGATTATCTGTCTCAAAAACAACTTTCAAACCTTACATGGAATTAACAACCCTTACATAAAATCTGAACTCTGAAAAGTCTCTATAATGAGCAATCTTCACATAAATCTTTTAATTCTTACCCACAATGAACGATCTTCAAATGGAATTTCGCGCAGGTAGACTTAGTATGAAATCCATTGAAGCATTTAATGCGTTAATATTTCTCACAACTACTACATCTACTTCAAGCCTTTCTTGTAGGCAATGCAAAGCAGCATATTTGAAATTTTAGAGCTCTCTAATAGCCTTGCAACAGCGAATACACCGCCTCCATTCTTTCGAATTCCTAGTGCCGTTTCCTTCAATAAAGTGCGAAGTCGGCCGTGTTGAAGCTCTCCTACACCTACACAACATATATGGGCGTCCAACTTGACGTTACTCATTAAGTTTTTTGTACACCTAGTTCTACACTCTGAACTTGCTCAAACAAAAAGACAATACGAGTAAGAAGTTCGAGGAATCGAACAGTCGAAAAACTGGAGCCTGACGATATCCAGCTTTACGTAAGCATAGATGCCGTCAAGCATTTGCAGCTCTTCGTGAATCATTCTTGGTCAATCGATTTGCGGTTGTATGAAAGCGTCGAATCAGCTCGGATGATGTTATGGATCAGTGGAAGCTTCAAATATCCAAACAATTTCCAATTCTCACAAAACTAAACGATTAGGCCAGATCGATGTTTGTCATTAGAGTTCGCTGATCCCCACAAATCTGTTAGCAACTTTCGGAACCTGCAGGGATGGAAACTTTAGTGCCACAGCGTGCGAATCGATCACTACCACTGCCGCACTAATCATTATCAAATTCCACAAATTTAAATCGCAACAGTTTAGAGACATTCACCCTTGACAGATGCCTACTTGATTTTCAATAAAAAATAAAAGTGGTTAGTCCAAATATGACAGGAGCCATTGAGTGAAACTTAACTGGACATCAGCAAATATTTATTGAACAAATATGCCATACAGATGTTTTACCACACCACCACCACTTATTAAAAAAAACAGACTCAAATTCACACGAAAATATTCAGATACCAATAGATGGAGGATAACTGCGCAAAAACAATGTTTTACACAAATTTTAAATGAAAATGCTGGCGAAGGTAATATGCAACTCCACAAGTTGAGAACATAAATGATGAGGCAGCTGGAACGAGAGTTCGTGAAAAGAATACTATTTACATCTGAAGATTAGAACGCATTAATAAAGCTAATCAGCATTTGGAAACTGCTACCGCAATAGCGTACGTCAAATAAAAAGAAAGATTAAATATAAGAGCTGTTATTTAGACCACAATACATGAGTGATGAAGTAGAAAAAATGGGCTCGAATGAATATCTTCGTAACAGCACCGGCACGTTGGCATGAAGACCCACCGCGACGTCATGTGATATATGTGAATGTATCGATGTCTGTTAGTATTGGGTTAACGGTAAAATGAGTATGAGCTGAGGAAATTCTTCTTGGAGATAATTAAGGGACACCCAAACATATGTAAAGCGGTTGAAATTACAGTAAAACGATCAAAATTTATGGAGGACTGTCAAAAAACTTCTCCGCTCGCCTCGCTATGGGTTTTAAGAGATTTTGGGCAGCAGGTGATACTGTAACCGGGCCTAGCATACTCTTGTTGGCACTGGACGGCTCGTACGGAGCACTAGGAGCGGCAGGAGTGCCACAACCACGAACATTCTCCTTATGACACTCTTCGTACTCCAGGAATTGAAGCCAGTATTCCTGTAGAAACAATACGGATTAACCTGATTTGACAGTAAAAACAAGTAAAAAAAGACAGTGCTAATGGGGATTAAACTTCATTGTACAGTGGGGATTAATATTTTACAGTTAATAAAAGAAGATGCAAACGAGCACAACACCTTCACGAATAAGCTGAGCTAAGGGTAAACCTATACTATAGCAGGTCATAGCAAGCTATATATGATTACCTTCTCACTAAAAACAGTATAAATGAGGTACCGCTTATGAAATGTGTCATCGCTCTAGTAAACAGAATAACCTGCAGAGCAGCTCTGCGCTTAACAAGGAAAAGTAGGAGTATTGCCGATGAGCGAAGGACGCTAAGTGGGATCAACAGTAATGGAGAAGAAAAGCAAATAAAAAACGCATAAACTCGCCGAGGACATCTTGAGCATTTGAAGAACGGATCGCTCTTTCTCGCGAGCGTCATTAGATGCAACGCGGATGTCACCACGTGGATATGAACCTTGACCCATAATGGGAATCGCCATGCAACGAGCAATGTTTTCGAACGTCATTTTGTTCATTTCCTTTAAAGCCTCCACCTGAATATCACTTAAGTAGGTAATAAACGAAGAAAAGAAAAAGACTGTAAAAACCTTCTGCAAATGGAGCATCAAGTATGCCAACGTGTCTCTGTTAGGCTGGGGAAGATCGCAGATGGCGACGTTAAGAGACATAATGTTATTTGTTTGAGCAGCTCGAATGAACTCCTCACGAGACGATTTCGGCACCAGTGGGTCCTAAAAACGTTCAAGTTAAGAATGATTCGAATAAAATGAACTGTGTTAAAAAGAAAACACACCCGTAACTCTCTTAAAAATGACTTGACCACATCAACGATAACGTCTGCTTCCTGAATACTGAGTTTTGGAATACCACGAGACGTACGGAGTTCATTCAAAACACTCTGTACCTAAAACAAGAACAGGTAATCGTGGGTTCAAATCTGGCCTACGGTCTGAGTTTTAGAATTATCTCAGCATCACTGTGGTTATGTCATGCAAGTCCTTGAGTAACAACACAAAAAAGTGCTCACATAACCAAGCTCATTTTATACATATTTTACGCTTTATTTAAATCCAATGAAACTTCAGAACTTACATGATCTTTCCGTCCCGGAACGCGATATATACCTTCTCGACCCAAACCTCGATTCTCCAGGTCAACGATACAGTAGATTACTGGGAATGCAATCATTGGCGGTAGAGGAGGACAGAACTCCTCAAACGGTAAATTAGAACATAGATGGAAGAGCAGTAGCTCATACCGACTTATGTCGACTCACCCGTAACATTTAAATCAAAAAGCGCAGGATGCAAAACAAAAACAGACCTGTAGATGATAAAGTGGCTGACCTCGCCTATTTGGTGTTCGGGTAAACACGAGTGTTCTCGGAACACAAGGCAAAATTAATCGCCTATAAGCATTACGATATTAAACAACTACGGGAGATACAATAGCATCCGAACACATCTACAGCCTCAGAACTTACGGAGAACAAGAAACATGAGCGAGTTGAAGGCAGTCTCGACATTTATACGCTGGTTTCGCAGCAAAATTGATTCCACCGTGACAAACATCACAAGAGGTGATCTAAGTTTAAAAAGTGGGTGCATCACTGAACGTTGTAATAATGTATTCGACTCACGTATCCTAACCTTAAAGTATGTTGACAACGGCTGGAAGTCATGCCGGCGGCTTGATATTGACATTCCACGAGTCCATGATCCGCCGCCAGGTGTTCGCATCGGTGTGCGGCTAAATCGAAGTGGAACAACCGATTTTAAGATATTAATGGCAATTCAACGTTTCCATTGAAAATTTCCGCTCAAAGTAAACCAATATGAGGGTTAACGCCGCCCCGGCATCGAACTAGTCGCAAGGTGGCACCATCTCCCACTGATCCCAAGAGGTGGCGACTTCCCGTAGTGACGGCATGAGCAAAGCTCCAGCAAGGGTGACGTCGTGTTTCCATATGCTCAGTAACTCTGCAATACAATCTCCAGCCCGCGACGTTGAGTGGGGAAACGACCGCTGACAGACGACCATATCTCGGTTGCACAGGATGTCATTACAACCGGAACAAATGGACACGTTCACGACACGCCATGAGAACTGTTACTTGCTCTGAACCTCTTACACCAGAACAGTCTACTCAGACGGCAATCTTTAAGTTCCTCTTGACGGCATTACTCACACAAACTCTATCCGGTTGCACTTCAAGAATCAGAAAGTGGAATGACCAGCATAAACCATTTAAGTGAAAGGAACCTTCAAGATTCCAGAAGAAATAATATCCCAAGAAGAAAAGAAGTTGCGTATGGACTTGTGAGCCTCCTAACGGCATGACTTATGCGGAAACCGACCATATTCTCACAAACTGATAGTATCTTCTTGACACCTCACTGGTAGTAATTAATCGCCCTCCATACGAAGGCTCGATTCAGCCATAATTTGGAGAAGAACTTTAATCATCGGCCAAGAAGAACATGACAAGTCGTGCAGAGCAAAATATCCTTAGTGAAAGCCTCTCGTCATATGACTGCCGGGTTATGGAAGATCCCATCGAAGGCTACAAGCTGATGTCGAATGATTTAAAACATCTGAGGAACTCCCCTCAGTTACTCAAATAAGAAGTTCAGACCGAATCTTCATTACTATTAGGGAATTATTCCAATAGAGTAGGCCGAGGCTTAATCGTACAGCAGCGCACCTAACACGGCTGATAATAAATGCCAGCTATCCAAGTCTTTTGCAGGAGGAATCACATCGGTACAAGCAGAAAAAAAAACAATGGAAGCAAATCAAAAACGAACTACCGTTGAAAAAATATCGTCGAGATGTGTGTGAATACAATGTCCTGATATCAGCCCTGATTAACGGACATGGGACCACCAACGAATCCTGCCATGACATGGATTCGATGAAGTAAACGTTCTATACTAACTGATCGTTTCCGTTCCACAATCCCAGTTCTGAAGATCCACACTGAAGAAAACTACCCATGATCTATTCTTCTTGGAGTCCGAGTCACGAGAAAAAGCATAAACAGAGGCACAGATGCGAGATCTGATAACATTACAGCAGATATGGCATAGGCAGGAGGCCAAAG